GGGAAACCCTCAATGGCAAAAAGGCGCAGAAAGAGAAAGGTCCTTTTTAACCCCCTGAAAATTATAAACATTTCCCCCCCCAAAAAAAAACCAAAAAAAGGTCAAGAAACTTACAATTCTAAACAACCCCCGAGAGAGAACGGCCAAATCCCCCCCCCCCCCCTCCACTCCTTCTTCCAAAGAGGTGATCACCGGTCCCCACACTTTAAAAACCGCTCCGCCGGCCCTGATTATGTCCTCGGATTCCATACTTGGAGGCAATGTTAATTTATTTTCGTTGGATGTAACCCGCTCCGTTCAGACAACTTTATATGCTCAGCTGTCTCTTTTAAAACCCTAGTACTCTTCTAATAAACCCTGCAGGAAAAATTAGTAGCGAAAGCTTGAATCAGATTTGTGCTGAATCGGCGGGACGCACTCTAGCACAAGAGAAGCTGGAACTAGTGATTTAATTGGTCAGGCATTATATTTAGCCTTCTCTATTGTCCCTTATTATGCCGCCCCATTATGCCGCGTTCCGTGTTCACAGACCTTAATCGATCATATTGCGTTTGCCGTTTTCAGGGTGAAATAAACTAAGGCCAACAGATCGTTGCGAGAAGGTTGCGTTGCTAGTGAAAACCAGTTTGAATACTCACTATAATCAATAACGATAACAGGCTTTGTCTAAGTTAAAAAAAAACTCACTTTAAAACGAAGCAAAGTGCAAACCTTTCTTGTGAAAATGAGTTTTATTTGCATGAAAATACAAATATTTAGAGGGATCTTAAGCAGGAGTCGTTTTTGAGCGACACGTGTCAATCAAAAGTGGACTTTTTGCATTCTTGGGAGGTGGTGTACCCAAATTGTCGGGCAGAGAATCTCTATAAGAGCAAAGAAACTTCCACTTAGCACTTATCCTCACTTTGAAACAGAGGCTCGGGGGAACTCGGAAATGGCATACTGTTCTGCCACTCGAGTCTCATTGCAAATACAATGAAATAACAATTCTTTAATCAACAATACAAACTAAACTGCACAAACCTATTTACAGATATTACTCTGGAAATTTCACTTACAATAATTCAGCATATTGCACAATGGTAAATAAAGGTGTGTCCGGCCGGGTTTAATTTTCTGTTAGGGATTGTCGTACACTCGTATAGTCCGTACAATTCCTCCCTCCATGTACTGAGAGAAACGAAGACTATTCTTTGTAACCAGGCTACTGAACATACATGTACTTAAACAGCGCTGTTTCTAGACTGTTCTTGAGGTCAGTTCTATCTTTCTTGAACTTTTGAGAGCTGGCTTTGTAAAAACTGACGCAGTTCCGAGGTACAGGAGCTGATAACATCCTGCAACAATTAATAATAACAACAACAATTTAAACTTTGTCACTATGATGCTGATTTTTATTATGATTATTCATGTAAAATGCGCATAGAGATCCTGATGTATCAATCAAGAAGAGACGGAATCTTGAGTGAATCGACTAAATTGACTGCGATGAATGTCCTAAAATGAAGCAAATCAAACAGAATTGGCCTTAATTTCAGGAAAACGGCGAAGTTAGGATTAACCGAAGACGAGTGTAGTAGGGGTTCTATTTTAACCTCAAACCCACCTTTGTTAAGCTCCTGAGTTGCTCTCCTGATGAAGATAAAACACAGTCACGAACAAACACGGAAACTTGACGACAGAAGTCCAAGTGAAGAGGCTGAGTAATCAAACAAACATAAAAGTGTTATAGTAATAAGCGACTGGTGAAACTTGCTAACTTTTTGCGCTATGTTTTCATACCGATTACTTGAATTTTGTACTTCACACAGCTTACTGAAAATCAAATTGACCTTTGATAAAAGAAAAGTTTTTGAGTGGAAGGTATATTGCGCAAGTAAAGCATGTCTTCCCGCTTATTGACGCGCGTGTTTTCAAGAAAACACTTTACTGTACCTATAGCCTACGGTATAAGTACAATGAGAAGTCGCATTTGAAACATGGAGGAAACCTTCTGCTAACCTGGTGATAGTTGGTTGGTGCTGGCAGCAGCACCCTGCACTCAGACGCACGCCGGTCTAACAACGGTGAACAGAAGCCCTATCCGCTAAGGTTTTCGTGCATGCGCAAAAGTTGTCCGGCGTAGTATGAACATGACCTCAAGCAAACAGAACGAAGACGGCAGCAAGAACGTCAAAACAACAACATGAACAACTGATTTTCTGAGCAAAACAACTGCTCTGCACGTACATCACACTTTTGGTACAATTTTTAGACGTCCACTGCACGACTACGAAGTGAAACTTCTGGATGTGAAGTTATGGAGGACGTGAAAACACGGCGAAAAAATTTCCTTTCTCACTTTGAAGTTAGATACAGCGCTGAAAAATACCTACGTTTGACAAATTGAGAGAAGCTAAACAAAGGCGATTTGAAAGAACACAAGCCCCGGCCCTTGAGCATCGCGCATCCATGTATGCAGGGCGTGCACAAAACATATCAATAAATGAACTTTACATACTATCAGTGTCTTCCGTGCCTGTCCACGTGGTGTATTTACTTACTGAACATACAGCCGTCTTATTTGCCACTCCTTCCAGACACTCTTTCCGAAGGAAAACAAAGGAATTGTACATGCTCAAGGTCACTTCAAGAAAGCCTCTCATCTTCGTCATCTAAGACGAAGCAGTTGTAACAATGCGGTTAGTAGAAATCAAAGTTTAGAAGACATTGTAGTTCAAACACACGATTTAACTACGCGTCCTGCTTAAACCTGCAGACTAAATAGGTTTTTACCATCTACAATTTGAGGGGTTAGTGAAGCTATGAAAAAAAAAATGCACTTTTATTAGAGTGTCAATGTATTTAGCACGAAAGTACTAATTGGGGACACTATATTTTACGTCTCCAACTGGAGACGGGACCGCCATTTTACGTGGTCATCCGAGCCACGCGAAGGTCTAGCCTGTTGCAGTGCAAAGGGAGTACCTTCATTTCTCGGTTATTTTAAGACCCTGAGCATTGGTCCGGCCCCAGGAAACGAACCCGCGACCTCCCGCCCTGCAGTCAACACGCTCTACCGACTGAGCTAACACTGCCGCGGTTGCCGCGTCAGTGGTTTTCGGAGATTTCCTTTCTTTCCTTTTTCTTTTTTTTTTGGAAACCCATAAAAGGATTTGAAAAACCGTTCTCAAGAACAGCGGTCTCGCACGCGCATACATAATTAGCAGAAAGAAGAAACTGTTCACGAGAATAGTTTTTCAAATCCTTTATCCATGAAATCCTGATTCGCTTTTCTTAATTGAAATCCACCTCGGTTACGGATTTCTCGAAGTTGAAATCCACTTTCGGGCTTCGCGTTTGACTGCTAAATGTGAAATCCGGATTTCAACATCCAAATCCAGATTTCACAATCGAACGCAGCCTAAGAGTAGTGAAGATATCTTTTTGAATGTACTGTACCTCGCGTAATGCCTCACGGGGAAATTTGGTAAAGAAACTGAAAAGAAGAGAGAGAGAAATAAAGTTACAACAATGAAACACTCATAGTAAATGACTGTAACTGTTTACTTTTATCGCTTACAAATGGAAGGATTATTTTTAACCCTTATTAAATGATGGCGACATTTAAGTTAGGAATGAGAAAAGCTGAACAACGTGAAGTTAAACTACCGTATTTTATAGTGCATTATAATTGGTTAACGCTTGGTACAGGCGCACTTAGTAGTGTCAGAGGAGGCAAATACCTGAAATACGAGCCTACGAGAGTAGCTATTATGGAATGTTATCTTTGAATTATGTTGAGATTATCCAATATAAACCTGGGTTGAGCGACACTGGAACGTTTTAGCAACACTCGAACCGACATCTTCAGCGCTCTAGTCACTAGACCAGCGGCCAAATCACAAGATACTCATATTCACTGGCAAGGGACTGGGTCTGTTTTATTCATTTTACAACAGAATAACTGGGACCAAGAGTTTCATTTGTTTCACCGTTTCGTTTTATAGGAGTCTTACTATAAGGAGGTTTCATCCGTAGGAAATTGACTGTGACACACTCAAAACTCAGCTCACATATAACTGACTGCATATAATTGCGTTCCAAGGCTGTTAAAACGTTTGCTGCGCTGTATTTCAATCATAAAAGTAACCCTGGTTGCGGATCATTTAATAACAAAGCAAGGCAAACCTGAAGAAGACAGCGGGGTACAATTTGATCAAGTGTTCTTTCAGGATTAAAGACCTAAAAGAAAAATACAATTCAAATAACAAAGTAAAAGAGTATTGACCAGAAACAACTATTTGCAAGTGGGTAGCAGCAACCTCGCCCAGCCTCAGGTTGCCTCCTTCACAGGTGTTATTAGGGTCGTCACGCAACGCTCCAGGGACGCTAATAATTAACGGCTGTGAAGAAGACTAACGATAGTCGCAGATATGCGTAAACAACAAACCTGAGGCGCATAACGTCGTCCTTGAATTCACAATTTTCATCTAAAAATGGAAAGACAAGACAAGATAAAAAACGAAATAATGCATTCCTACTTTGTGGCATACAACCCAGTGAATGTAATCTTTGGAGATTTCATCACCTTTCGTTGCCTCCACAAAACCAACTATCTCCAGTGGGCATCCACTTAAGGGTATGGAGCAAAGGGAAAAAAAGGTTGTCTCTAGTCACAGAAACCACCCTTAATTTCAGTGGGTGGGGTGGCCTGTGCCACATGCGATGCTAACAACACTGGAAACAGAAACTTCTTGTTAAAGCCCAGCCAATAAAAAAGGCAATAAAGGGCTGTAAAAGGTTGAGGGTATAAAATACCGTCTTTTGATTGTATTTCTCCGAATATATATTGAAAACAAACATTTTACTGACCAATCTTAAACACCAGTAATGTTCTTGGAAAACATCTCAGTAGTTGCTACAAAAACAAAAAGTGATGATCACTCTTAAAACCACTTAACATTTGATGTTTGAAGTAAATCGGAGCCGGATTTCTTAAGTCTTACCCAAGCAAAGTCCGTCAGTACAGCATTCTCTTCTATCTGTAAAAATCATCACTTGTTAGGCTACCACCAGAATGGCCAAATCGACCTGCGTAATTGTTATAAGATTACGTTTACATGTTACCGCCCCTTCGCTTGTTATCCTTCCAAATTCGAAACAAACAAAAAAAAAAGACTCGTACGAGACACCTCTGGGGACTTTATTTGGGAATTGGCATAAAATGCTTAAAAAACCATATTATAATTTATCAGAACTGTAAGAGACAAGCCCGGACGTAAAGTTAGATTTCTATAAACTTTGAGCTGCTTTATGAACTTCAGTATAGACTACGATAAGAATAATAAAGTAGCGTATTTCTGGGGTGTTTCTTTGTGTTGTGGATCCTGTCGTTAGTTTGTTAGGGGCTGTTTAGAAAGAGGAAGGAAGATCATTAGCACCACGAAAATCCTAAGAGGCGGCACAACTTTCCGTTGGGTTTACATACAGAAATTTCGGTCCATTTGGTTATAAGTACAGAACGAATTAAAGATTATCAGCTCGTCGTAAAGCCAAACGAAATGGTCGGCGTTTATTGCCATGATTACCCATTAAAAGACCCGCCACCATCTTTTTCTGGTTTGTTCCTAGTACATGGTGCTAGGATGTTCCTTGTACCAGGATCTTCCTACCACTCAGCAGTAGGAAGATTCTACTAGGGATAAGTACAACCCTTTGCATGTAAACTGATCACAGAAAACATATGGCGCTAGGATGATCCACCTTCCAGGATCTTCCTCCCTCCATGTAAACAGCACCCTTATAGTGTTGCAGTTCATGGAATTTACAGTATTTAACGGTAATCAAAATGATCATCTGCGTAAAAAAAATTGCTGACCATAATAAATGTCCAATCATAGAGCCTCCCTGAGAAAATATCATAAACCCGGGTGGGGAGGGTGGGGACTTGTTTTTCTTTCTGAATTCTTAGGCATCTCTTTATTACCAACCTCGTTTCCATGGAGCAACATCTGTGAGAATTCTGCCACGATGCAGTCGAATAAACAGCCAGCCAGCTGCAATGTATCAGTTTTACCCGATTATTAATTCGTTAACATTGCTAATGATAGTGCACTTTATTCCCAGTTAACCGCTAATCAAATGTATCACCACGTAACTAGACCTTGAAGGATGGCCTCACCTTTCTCGTAAACTCTGTGGGCGCCTTCAATTCCTCTACAATGAGGTTCATCATGACTCTACTAAAACAATTATCATCAAAGGTTAAAACATGTGAACAAAGTTCTTTTGGACCAGTTTTAAACACCAGTCCAATAAACGGCATTAGAGAGTCGATAAGGGGTATTTTTGGTAGTCCTCTCAACAGAAAACTAACACCTTTCTTGGGCCTAGCCGGGGACCAGGCTCAATAGGTGGTGGGGGAGGGGAAGGCAAAAAACGGGGTGAAACAGCAAAAATCTGCAAGCGAAGTGCGCCTTGTGTACCGCTCGGCTCGCTTCGCTTCAATCTTTTTTCGCCCCTTTCCCCTACTGACGAACCTGGTCCCAGGAGATCTTGGGCAGAGAGGCCTACAAAAAAACACTAGTAAAGAACGACCACTTAACAGAAGAAGACTATAACAGGCGCAAGGATTGGCACGGTTGGTTAGTGCACGGCCATCCGTGCGAGAGATCCTGAGATCGATTCCCTGGTGTGACCTCAAATCCTTGTTTCGACTTCTTTCTTTTCCATGTAGCTTAGTAAATATCTTTAAATACCAGTAAAACGGAGCACTGAAGGAGAGAAGGGAGTAAAATCAGCTCACCATCGGCCTCAGGTTTGTTAGTCAAATAATGACTATTTTGAGCTACCGACATAAAGTAAGGACTCTTTACCTTTATTACCGCACGAGCCACATTTCTTTTAAACAACCATAGCCTGGTTGGAAACGTATGACAAACGCCTTCAAAATAGCACTATGTAACTATCACACGATAGTGAATTGTCCTACCTGTTTGCGCCACGAAGAAACACTGCGATAGCTGATGCCAGTACATAAACATCAAAACCTTCTAGTTCACTCAGGGACGCACTTTGGGCTGTCTCAACGCTAAGGAAAACCCGATAAGAAGTTTAAGTTTTATCACTACACCGTATATAAGCCATCTTACGTCATGTAGGTTTAGCTCTAAAGTCCGAAGATGTAATTCTAACGAGCAATCATGTACTTGTATTGGCTATAAGGTTTCTTTTTAGATAGCTACAAGGGTGTGACAGTCTCGCAAATATATTATTCATATATTATTCTATACCCCCTTATACTGATATACAGCGTGGTTGTAACTTTCACGACTGACGCTAAATTCCTACAATATAACATTCAAATGAAAGGTAATATAATTTTCAATTCCAAGTCGGAAGATGGTATTCAAAGAAGGTTTTGCCTGAAACTAACATGATTCACACTTTTTAGTCTACCTCCAATTTCCACTCGTTCAAGTAAAATCGACTCAATCTGTTTCCCGTTGGAGCCTTTTGTTATGTATTGCCCTTTTTGGGTTAGACAAACCTGTTTTTCCAGTTTAAAAACGACCCGGCCTGTTGTAGAACGGCGCATGTATAGTTACGATGGCTTGCAGCCAAAGGTCTGAGCTGTTTCCAATAATGCTATCAAGAGAAGAATATCAGTAATGTTAGAAGAAAATCAAGCAAATCAAGAATGCAAAATATTCCTTGCTCTTTGACGATGTTAATCTCGACGCAAGTGTTATGTACTTAAAACATGTATCGAGATTGAGATCTGATTGGCTTATGAACACGAGACAAATCAAACCCAGGCCTCATTCAAGAGAGACGGCTGCTCGCCACTATCGCGAAACCTTTGCGAAAGAAAAGACTTACTTGAGTAGAAACAAAGAACAAGGGACACTCCTTGAAAAATCTAGAGAAAAGCTCAGAGCCAGTAGTTATTGATTTACTTGGAGATGATCTGGTGTAAGTTAGCAAAGCCTAAAAGAATAAAAGGAAAAAGTGAATATCAAAATTCATCAAATAAAAACCGCTGGCTGTAAAGAAAACGGAAACGACATCCAACATTGACTTTTGCTTCATATTATGTACCATTTGATGGTGGTGGTGAAATTGAAACAATAGAATTCTGTTGGTAGTAGTGAGAGAAGGGATGGTCATAATAAGAAAAGAACAAATATACCAAGCAGGAGAAAGGGAAGGGCAGTTCAGTAATTTTCATTGACATACATGCTGAAGTGCATTCCTTCTTGATACTTAAACAGCAGCGATTGCTCGTTGGGCATTCCAAAAAAAAAAGGAAATGTTGAGAACTGACTCCAATAATGATAGTTTCAGCCCTACTATAATATTTACAGCGATCCCCTTTCGTTATGAAATCAAACGTCAAAACTGCAACGCAGATGTTGTTAGGCCCTCGTCACGCGATCCTTACCCACAGGACCAGTGACGAAGCATAAAGATCTTCTAGGTTTAGAGGTTAATGTCACTCATGAACGCGGTAAATAACACATCTCACAGTAGGTTTCTCCATAGCTTAGTAGCCGCGCAAATCACCCAATCAGCATCTGAGATCTCATTGGTTTAATTCTCATCGGGAATCAGATTGGACATTTCTTAGTTCCATGGTTTTTCCAGCGCAATTTATTTCATCCGCCAAAAAAAGTAAAATCAGAATGCCAATTAGTCACTAGGGGCACTTTCAAAAGCCAGAATTGACCGGCCAGACTGGTAGAATAAGCTGATCTGGCTAGATAATCCTGATTGATAGTGGAATCTCCTTAAGATTGCACTGGTCTGGCCAGCCAGTTCTGACAAATGGCAAGCGCCCTTTAAGTTATTCCGAAAACCACTCATTGGCTCTGTATGGTCGCCAAACCAACCAAAAGCCATGCGTGTTTAGTTCGCTAAACCAGTTAACTCGCTACATTCCAGTTACTCTCGATTGTTTTGATCGTGCTCACTTGTTCTAAGTTTATTAAGTTTATATCCAAATGGCTCTAACATGTACCTTTAAAATGTAACTGGTTATGTCAAAAGGAAGACATCCCCCGTCACTCAAATAAGGTCTCTACGATAGAGATAAAAGAAGAGGAAAATATGTTAATGCGCCAGTCCAGAGTATTGTCACAGAGGTATGAAGAACCACTGTCATGACTTGAAAATACGATATAACGTGGGTGGCCAACAATTTTGGTAGGATTTTCGTGTATTATTTTATTTTTATTTTTTATAAGAGTCTGTTCTAATTAGCTTATATGCTAAGCCAGATATAAATGAACAAATAAATTAATTAATATAATGGTAAAGAGAGAGGTATGTCCAGTTACACTTACCAGGTATGAATAAATAAAATCTGCAACACGAGTGATTGAATGTGCGTTAGGGTCGCTGTCCAGTTTATTAGTAAACAGCAAATACGGGGGTAGACGCATAGCCAATCTGTAATTAAACAAAAACAGTACGAGTTTTTTTTACATTGCATGTATTAAAGTAGACTCTCTCTAAGACACACACCGCTCTTCGGTGGTATTTGTCGACTCTCTATATGGAGGTCATTGAATAACCAAATCCCCCATGAATTAAGGGCGGGCAAGTTGCATAGTTTTATGATTAATCTCAGGTCGAGAGAGTAAAAGCGCGTAATAAACAAACACAGACAACAACAATAACGTCAACAACTTTTAACCTTGTAGAATGCTTGGCTTAAAAATTAAGGGAAATGGTCAAAACATATCTTACTTTATAAAAGAAGCAGTCTTTGACGCTGGCAGTAGATCGCAACTCTCTGTTGTTTTAGCCTTGCTCTGTTCAACGTTAAATTGAACCTATTAAAAATACACCATACAAAACTAATGTTACTATTTGTCAACTACATTGTCAAAAATCGTCTCGAAACAAGCTGATGACGACTTAAGGGGAACTTATAGCTGAAATAAGATTTCTGTTTACAAATTTATCGGCTTTTAAACGGTGGGGTTTATAACAGAGACTTAACGGTATCCAATCAGAATTGAGAACGAGCCATGTGGAAACGAATCGAAGTTCAAATTTGTTTCTTGGAAGCAATCTTTGAAATCTGCTTGACTGTTTAATTAGCAAAAAAGTTTGCCAGGGAACTAAAAGTAATCAACTCGACAAGCCTTCCCCTGAACAAAATCACACCCCCAGCGCAAATACGCATTTTAAACAGAGTTATTTCAAAGGGTGGTGTGTGATACCTCTGTCATTCTAGAATAAAACTGTTGTAAAAGCCATGGATCACACGAATTCTCAGCTTCTGTTTCTTGACCAGTATCATTACTCAGCTGAGGCAACATAGTAACAAGTTCCTGAAATAAACATTCGATCCATTCAATTCCGTAAACAAGCTAGCTAACACTCCATATCTAATTAACACCCCTTTAAAACTTCAATTTTTGTTACAACGCCACTCTCCAATAAGCACCCTATGACCAATCAACAGTCTCATGAACATTTAACCAAAGAGTGCATCATTGATGAGGCTCTTGACGACGATTAATGGATTTGATAGAATTTGGACGTTGATAATGAGCGATATAATGATGTTAAGGAAGGAGGAAGGGCGAACTCTAGAACAGGCAGGCTTCTCCTATCTTCCATTTAAGTGCCACAGTATAACCTGTATCAGGTTGATCATGTCATTTCGGCTGATGTCAACAGGTTTCTGTTCTTGAAGAGACCTTCAAAAAGAGAAAAGTAAAACTTGTATTATGTACTGAACAAATTAGTCAACTGCATATAGTTGCATACACCACCAAAACACGGACGCCACAGTTAATAGCTGTAGGGTCAATCAGGGTGAAGACAGGAGGGTTCTGGCATCATACTCAACCTTAACCACTTATTAGTAAATAGTCTGACATGTTGAACTTATTGAATATTCCCTAAGGAAAATATACTTGGTTACCTGCTCTCGGCGTTTAGCAGAGCACGGAAGATAACGGAGCATGCTTTACTGGCGCAGCCATTACAACCACCATCTAGGGTACCCAGGGGAAGGAAGTGGTCCAACACTCTGAACTGATGATAAATACGCCTGTCAATAACAAAAAGAAAAAAACAAACGCACAAGGGTAAGATGGGAAAGCAATAACAAGGGTTTTATTTTGGTCAAAACAGAGGAAGTCAAATTAACGTATTTAATCGACGCTTTTGAGAACATTTAGGCCCTTTCATCCTGTGCGACACCTGTCGAAAATTGTCTACCTAACGTAATGAAAACAATTGCTATCTTATGGATTCGTTCCTCTTCAGTTTTTTTTTTCTGTTAGGCCAAGATCTGAGATGGATTTCACGGTTACTTCACTGTGGTCACTGCTAACACTTCTACATCTGAATTTAAAGAGCTTGGTCAACACCGTTTACGATTCACGTTCCAGAAGCAATACATCAGTTACCTAACTAGAGAGAAGACCCCATATACGCCCAGGTTGTTCGTAAATCAAAGTTTTGTAGCATAAACACAGACCTGTCATTATCTGATAAGAAATCTTCCCTGGCGGATACACCCAGTTCCCATCGACACCACTCGGAAAAAGTCAGCTGAAAATGACAACCAGTAGAGGATATAATTTACTACATCATTATTACTAACACGATGCATAAATTGAGATATGCCCAGAGAAAATAGGTGCGAATTTGAACATCAGTAACTAAATAACAAACGCAAGGTTCCCCCTAAATTGGAATCGACAAGTAGTATAGCGTGCATAAAAAAAACCCTTTATGCGCATGCATGGACACATAAATGTCGCAGAAAATGGCCTTTGTCTCCATGCACAGGAAAATCGTCAAAGTGTGCGATGGTTCAAAACTCGGCATATTTTTTTTACGGAGTTAAAAATGGTCAAAAATTTTTTAAATACACGATGTCATAGTTATTTTGACTAGTTGACTCGTTGTAAGTAGCATTCTGTTCAGTTACCGTACTACAAAAAAAGCGGAAAAAAGTTCTCTAGCTCTCTCTGTTGAGCTCCAACTCGAGTATAATGATATTAAATTACTGAACGTTAAGAGGCAAATCTGATTTCTTGCCGCACAGCAGGTCCATTGTCAATGTCAAGTCCGTTGATAACAACATGTTGATTGGGGCCCAGGAAAGTTTATTCCGTTAACACTACCCTGGGAACTAACTAGTGCGATAGAGTTACAATCTCTCTGTAATGCTAATAGCGCGGTATGTACCTTTTCCTCTTTTTCCTTCAACTGTTGGAACTGTTGTACAGAGACCAACTTTTTCACCATACAAACCAGATCTTAAAAAAAATAAACAATTCAAAACACACAACCACAGCTATAGCTTTGTGAATACACAAGACGAAGAAAAAATTAGACCGAGTAGGCTTCACGGGTTTTTTGAGAGAGAGATTCATCATCATAACCAGTCCACAGTCACTTTTCAATGTTTCCTCCAAAAAAAGTTTTCAAACGTGACTGTAATGATCCCACTAATGACGGCTGTTAAATTTTGCGACCTTTTACACTGACTTCTCGAGGGAGTATTGATTCAGTAAGAACCTTAATCGAATATTTCAAAGAATATTTTGTAAAGTATCCGCACATTTTAAACTCAATTTAAACCCACATGCAAATCGTTTTAAACACAACTGCAGAGGTATTAATTTAACTGCTGGAATACTCTAACTTCAAACGTAACGCCCAAATGTGTTATCGCTCTCATGTCGATAAACAAACCAAGCCTAAATTTATGAAAGCCACTGCAAAATGTTCCATGTTGCTCATTATCATGCTTCACAATTTTCCTGTTGGGTGCTTCAGACAATTGTTTCTACACGGTAACTTTTGATCGCGAAGGTTTAATCACAGGGGCCCCACACAATCTGTGTGTGTAACCGACTGTTCTTTTGTAGTAAAGGATTTATCGCTTGCCTTACCTAGAGCGATATATCGCTAAGTATGTATATATAAAATCAATGTTAAATAAACGTTGAATTACCTTACCTGCCATATGCTGTCGTCCTTTTGCCTCAAAAGCGGTTTTTTGAGCGATTTTGAACGATTTTGAGTTCGCCATTTATTGTTCCTTATGATAGAAGGAACAGTAAACGGCGAACTCGCTATAGATGAAGCAAAAGGTAAATGCAGTATATTTACTATAAAATAACAATCGGCTACATACACAGATTGTGTGGGCCCCTGTGATGTCAGTAAGCAGCGCAGCACATTGTTCGCAGACGACTTGCAGTAAGTAATTAAAACGTCTTGATCTATGTCTCAAGGAACTACATCGTGACATGAACGATACACTGTACTTCCGTTAAGACAAATACCTTCTGGCAGAGTCGGCTTGAAGAGGAATGTATCTCCGCAAACATTAAGCCGATGTAAAAGATAAAACGTCTGAAACAAAAAAAAATTAGTACATAATGGAATTGAACAAGCCGGGTTTTACGTGGGTTTTTAAGAACAGAGTCGGAAATCGCATTTGCTTAGGCAGAAATATATTAGCTCTTCTGGATCTTACAGTAACCTTTCATCACGAACATTCTATCGTCCCGACTAGCTGCCCCTGGGTCTCCGAGGATGCTCCTGGCCTAATGTCTAGGCCAAACTAGGAGAGGGAGACCTACGACCACTTACAACGAACACGTTTCTTGAAGACACCGTGTTCGCCACTGTCGGAAAACTCTGAAGGGCAATGCTAGAACAAATTGACTGGCGAGGGAGAATCTACATTGTCCGAGCTGGCGCTCGACCAAGCTAAGAAGCAGTGACTTCAGCGCACAGATCTACGCAAAACGTCAAGCGAGAAAAAATACGAATAAATCTTACCTTCCTGAGCATAGCTGGCGACAGGTAAGCAGTATGCACTGGGAAAAGAAGGAACGTATCTGCTGAGGTAATGCTGTAATACTATTACACACTTACGATCGTGTATGTTGGACCACACCAGTTAGCAAAAGCATTCATAATTCAACTGAGTTATGTAAAGCCTTCATGTTTCGCCCCTCTACGGTCGGTTCCCCTAAACTGTAATTAAACATTACCAGACTTACGTCCAACATCGGTCTTTAATTCGGTGAAACTCCCACTGAATGCATCAAGCACGTGGTCCATATATGTGCATGAAAATCTAGGAAGGGAGTAAAGTATTTTTGCGAGGTGAGAGTATGTGGCGAATTAATGCATCACAATCGAAATTTTGAAAAATACCTCAGAAAAAACTCCATCCAACGGCTCGTACACAGTGGAATATGATCACACAGGACATCAAGAAAGCAGCAAATCTGTGAAACAAAGGAAATTATTATTTATTATAGGGACTGTCCCCTTTTGGTTCCTGAGAACTGGTGTCTGGGTACTGACACTAGTGACAAAACAGTGCCATGTTCACAGTGCCTTGAGTACCCGATATGTAACTGTGTACATAGTTACTCCAATTCGCCCTTTTAGACGCCATTTTGAAACTTGAGCTTAGCAGGGAGTTAGAAAGCAGTGAATTGCCACGGTACCAATAAAAAAGGTATTCATACAGGGATCCAGTGACCACTATTAATGCCAGAGTACAGGGACTCGGGTACCGTTACGGTGCCTGAATTTGGGCGCGGGTACTTGAAAATTCGTGCCCAATGAGTCCCGTATCCGGGCACCGTGACCTGGCACCAAGTGTGACTTCGTAAGGTGTTACTGAAAACATATATGTGTGTATGGAGTCTATCTCGCTCTATCTGCTACCCATTTCTCCCGTTTATTACCGTACAAACATCTGGAAATTTCTTTTCCGCGGTATGGAGGTTTCCTCTCAGAAGTACTGGAAGCATGTTAGTCTGGTTAATACATAAGTAGCAAAGAAACACTGCCAGGCCTTGCACGTCTTGGTTACTTGATGTTGCACCCTGCTTGAAAGAAAGAGGATTTTATTACTAAAGCTTTAATTAAATTTTAGGATATAAGATACCTAATGGCAAGTTTATCTCTCGGTTGTTGCTTGAAAGACCTCTCAAAAAAAGGAAATCTACTTGTCTCAGGCGAAGAGACAGAATTTTTTTTCGAACCCCGGCTACTACGGGAAGGTTTGGAAGGTCTGACGAAGGTTTCAAGCGTTGACTTCAGACAGTTTCCCGACCCTAAGCAACACACATAAACTTAAGTTCCACGCTATTCTAACAACTCCACCAAAATTTGCACGACTGGAATTTGCAGTTTTAGCTTTAGCCCGCGAGATATTTTTCTAATAAGAATAGGCACTCTCTTACTTCGGTGAGAAAATTGCTAAAACAGTTAAGAGCTACAAACTTCAATTCTAGCCACTAAAAATGCGCAATCTGTAACGGGGTAAGTGTACAGGGAACTTGGCCGCTCTATTCTTGTTAAACGTAGAAATATTGTTGACTCAGAGTGACTATGTGAGATACATCTTTCTAAAAAACAGTTAAAGAGAAAGAAAGTATAAATTTGTTACAATTTACAACTACAAACCTGCAGGCAGGTTCTTCGCCATAACTGACAATACAGGCTTTTGTGAAGTGACGTTGTACATACGACCATGGCCACAAAATCACGAACCCAGTGATATCTGTTTCAAACAACACAACAACACAGAAGAGGAATTAGGGTCCCAGCTATTAGACTGAAGGTCCACCATGCTTTTTCATGTTAGAGGAAGAAAATTTCATGTATTAAACAATGAAATCACACTACCCAGTTGTTGGAAGTGTCCATATATCCTCTACGTAAAGAAAAAAAAACACGAATGTAACCTTCAGCCGTGCATTTTGCAAAGAACTGATTTGAAGCTGTGAGATACGTTTATAGTACACATTCTGATTTTTAAAAATTGTTGTAAATTCGGTCACTAAATTGAAACCGCGATGTGCCTAATACCTTCTAGGGTAAATCTCTTGATGGAGAGGCGCGCTTGGAGTAGAAGTGATAATCAAACAATTGACTTTAGTAATATAAAAGTTGTAAAAACTTACCGATACATATTATCCAGAGAGTCTAATAAACACTTCTTTACTTCGTCGCATGTGCGGTAAAATGCGTCTAGTAAAGCATCTACGGTCTTGGTTAAGTAAACAAAGCAAATTATGGGTTACCGGGGTGTAAAAAGCGCAGCTTTTCTTTGTTGAGGGGCACTTTCTATTCAACGAAAACTTCCAGACTGAATTTCTGGCAACGGTCAGAGTCCGGATGGAGCAGCATCATCCGTGATTTAGAAAAAAGACGACAACCTCGCGAGGTATACCCAAATTTTCGAAGAGTTTCTTTCCGGAAGTTTTCTTTCAATTCAACTTTGCTCATGGAATTTCTAGAATTTTTTTCGGTTGAGTAGATCGCATTTCAGACATTTAACAGTTCTCGAACTTTTTGGAAACATTGTTTGCGCCACTTGCAAAGTTTTTGGAGTTTTGGTCGAATAGAAATCGCCCCAGGTTCATTTTAGTTTTCTTTGTAGCTATTTTATTTTCCTCGCGCATTTCGTATAACGTCTTCTATTTGTTGTTTTGTTTTCATACCGACAACGAACCCAAATTAATTTATTATGTTAGATGGACAAGAAAAATTAATCATTTCATGGGAATGAAGACCAAACCTGCGTACAGCTGCCTCTGTCCAGACTTACGATGTCCACCTCAACAAGTTGATTGGTTGTTAACATTTCATCTGATACCTTTGTCATTGATTGGATGGTTGCAGAGATAATTGACAACTGGGATGAAATTCTCCCTACAGCAAATATAAAACAAGTCGTAGACAAATAGTATCTTCTTTGCTCTCTCAAAGCGGGTATACCAGTAAAGAAGACTGGCACTTCTTTAGGCACATTTGCATTAAGGTGGATAAAGCCCAGCTTTCTCTTCGTTGTTTGTTATCTATCTAGCAACCTTAAGAGCCTGACGACGGCGACGACAACGGCAACGAGAACGTCAAAAAAGATTAAAAGTTTAGATTAGCAAAACAACAACTTTTCATGTGTGGTACAATTTTTGTACAATTCTTTCCCGCCACTGCACCTTTTATGGAGGACGTAAACAAGCGAAAACGAAATTTTTTTCTCTTTCTTAACTTGGATATGGTACTTAATAGAAATTCAGCTCCAGGAGAGTATGTCGACATCCGAAAATGTAGCAAAGTTGGAATAACTGCGATGAAGATTGAAAGAAAGCGAAATCACTTTTTAAGCGAGGTTTTCGCTACCGCTTGGTCCTCGGATCTTAAGATCCCTTAATATTAGGGACCTTAAGCAACCAAGACGACGACGGAAGTGAAACATCACAAAAAAATAACTGTGCGTCTATTTTGAACCGCTCAATTCGTCAACTGTAGGCGAATTTTCCTGGAGTTGAATTCTCAAGGGCTTTATCCATGTTCAAATAGTGAAGGAACAAATTGTCGTAGTATGTCCACGTCATCCATAAACCGTCACATTGAGAGTTTTCACGTCGTAGTCGTGCAGTGGACGTCCAAGAAATGTACTAAAAAGCGTGAGAGCAGTTGTTTTGCTCATAAAACCAATTGTTATTGACGTTGTTGTTGTTCGTCGTCGTTATCGTTACTTACAGGTGATGTTACACGAGCATTTGGCGACGACGAATTTTTAGCGCAACACAGCGTTGCAGCATAGTTGCGACATTGTTCCAACATTGCAACGCTGTCCAGCGCTAAAAATCGTCGTTGCAAATCGTCCTGTGTAACATCACCTTAAGGTCCCTATTCTTGATTGGACAAGCACCTTTTTTGGACAGCTTATGGGGACAATTTGCTGAGAATGATAACCGTATCACTTCTCCTAAATGCCTCCAAAGCAGGAACCGTGTTTTGTAGCAATACGTTTTTCGCTAACTGTAGGCACGTTGAAAGCGCTGGGCTCTAAAATCGCAGCCATCCATAGAACCATAGTTACTAGAGGAGACTGGTTATAAAAGGCGGCAAACATCAAAGATAAAAATAACAGTGCTGCAGTTTAGGTTGGAAGCTCCCTGACGGTACACAATCCTTTTCTTGTTCACAAATTTTGACTGACTAAATTAAGAGGACGTTTTTACTGGTGGGAAAGATTCATTCATTTATTTATTGTCCCCTTTAACCACATAAGAATACATCAACAATATACAAGAAATTTATAATCTATTAAAGATAACAGACACGCGAAATAAATCATTTTACAAATGTTCAAAGTGGTTATACACTATAGGCTTCCTGACACTATAAGGTAACACCAAGTGAGTTAAGTTACTGAATGAAAAATGCATTATTTTCTCTTAGTAAAAGTAAAGGAAAAGAAAGAAAAAGAAAACGAAAAGTATGTTGCTCAACAAAGAGTATAAATGACCAAGAGAGAAGGAATTTTTTAAGTCCTTTGCCAAACAAAGTGACATTTTCACTGTTTTGAATTTCACGACTTAGCGAGTTGAAAAACTTAGCCCCGTGAAACTGAACTGAGAATTTTCGAAAATCTGTTCGACAGTGAGGTATATAAATGAAGATCAAATGTTATTGAACGTTGTACAAACAAGCTAACAAAAGTACATAACAAAAGAGTCTGACGGACTTGATAACCATTTAACTTTATTAACTGTGACGGTACAGTTAAAGTGGGCCTTTCGTCCTCATAAAAGTAAGTCTAAATTATAGGCATACTTTAGGCCCCCGAGCAAATGATACCTGTTAGTTTTGATAAGTCAGAAAACTGCAATGATTCCACGATGAGTCTGGTAAGCTTGTCCAAGCAGCTGATGAGTTTTTGCATTCCGCTCAGTGTACCTTCATCATCCAACACACTCACTTTCCGCAAAAAAGAAAGACAAATTGAAAAGTAAGTTTTACACGAAGTTATCTGAAAGTTCAATTTATGTCTAAAACGTTTCAATGAACTTCTTTAATGTTACAACAAAGTGAAACCTCACAAGCCATTAAATTTTGATGTGGTGATGTTTGTTATCCTNATTGAACGTTGTACAAACAAGCTAACAAAAGTACATAACAAAAGAGTCTGACGGACTTGATAACCATTTAACTTTATTAACTGTGACGGTACAGTTAAAGTGGGCCTTTCGTCCTCATAAAAGTAAGTCTAAATTATAGGCATACTTTAGGCCCCCGAGCAAATGATACCTGTTAGTTTTGATAAGTCAGAAAACTGCAATGATTCCACGATGAGTCTGGTAAGCTTGTCCAAGCAGCTGATGAGTTTTTGCATTCCGCTCAGTGTACCTTCATCATCCAACACACTCACTTTCCGCAAAAAAGAAAGACAAATTTAAAAGTAAGTTTTACACGAAGTTATCTGAAAGTTCAATTTATGTCTAAAACGTTTCAATGAACTTCTTTAATGTTACAACAAAGTGAAACCTCACAAGCCATTAAATTTTGATGTGGTGATGTTTGTTATCCTATGCAAGGTAGTCGTTATTTTGTTATGATTTACTGAATGATATTCTCCTTCTTGATGTTGTTCAATATGGTTCTTACTTTTCATTTTGTGGATTGTGATGACTGTGTTAGCAAATGAGTTCAGAAAAAACAGTGTGAGGTCCCTTTCGCGACCTGTATCCTGAAACTGTATTGATTTAGCAGGCCGCCAGACACGGTCTCTCCCAGCAGCTATAGTCTTTATATATTTACGGTAATTATATCTTTTTTGGCTTAAATCCCTCCAGCTTAGAGGTGTTTCAACGCACGTATCCCATGATACTCAATGCTCGTCAATAAAGTTAGAACATAATTATTGTCTTCATCTGCCCAAACACCATATAAACACATCCCCCTCCCCTTAAGGCGTAGTACGAACGGCTTATAAAGCAGGCTCTACCTTCAATCTGTTCCGTGGTCTTCTTACACGCTGATTGATACGCGGTAAGCATGTTTTTAGGGATTTTACCAGCTCTGTGAAACATAGAAAAACTTTTTATTAGCAAATTTAATTATCCTTGTAAGGAATGGAAAGCATGGCAATTTTAAATACAACGGCGTTAGATTTCGTGGAGGAAACAGAGTCGATATTTGAAAAAAGCGTCTATGCTCAGTGGGTTGGTGTATGTTTGAAGCTGTCCCTTTGAAAAATAATGATTGTCTTTTGTATCCAAACTATTCACTTTTTACGCTTCAAGAAGTTCAGAAGACTGGAAATGGCGCTACTCTCCTAAGATTGGTATGGCACTTTTTTCAGACTTGCATGCTGAACGGGTCCTGAAGACTTCGCCAGCACTCCTCTGTGTTACTAGCATGAGGGGCAGAGTACCTTACGACTCGCGACTCGCAATCACTCCCTCTCTCTAAGGCCCAGTTTCCCGAAGATTATCGCTCTGATAGTCTTGACTGTCTAAGACGTTCCAAACTTTTTTCAGGCTATTGAAGCCAAGCCTTAATTACTGAAGAGTGATTAGCAAACTTAGACATCCATGAACAGCATCAAGTGCATCATTATCATTTCAATTGGATAAAGCAGTTTATATTTTCGGCCGCTTAAAAGTTAATATGGACCTGGTACAGTACAGCGAAACACACATAAAGACACCGCGCATATGGTTACAGATGACCACACTACCGGGGTCTACGTGCCCCACTCTTTGAAAAGAGCAGTACATGTACCTTGACGTCCCACAAGAATCAAAACAGTGAAAGAGCGTTGAGACAGGGCGTACGGTTTTTTTGGCCTTATATGTCTAACCATTTATACATGACAAGAAAAAGGCCAGCATATTCTCATCAGTTAGTTTAAGATCTTGAGTGTTGGTCCTGCCAGGCTTTGAATCCGTAACCTCCCGCTCAACAGACCAGCGCTTATCCACAAGCGGATAAGAATCAAGGAAGCATCTGGAACAAAAGTCTTACTTGCTTAGAACATCAATGAGCTGAGCTCTTGTGTCAGCTTCATCAGGGATCTAAAAATTAACGCGGAACATTATACCTCAATAGTACAACAAAACAAGATACCAGCTTGGCAATATGCTTGGACAAGGCTAAACGTTCTCTTTTAAATGCTTTTTTTCTGGAAAATTACCAAAAAATTACCACATACAGATAAAGACAACTACATAAGATACCTGAACCGTTTTCACGTAAAATTTAAAGAACGTTACCGTCATTTCATATTTTCCTGCAAAGATTTTAAAACTGAAAAGCCAACAATTACCGCGAAAAGGTGTTTCAACAACTATGCGATAATCTTTCTGTCCTTGTGCAGATCTTTCTTTCCGTGTTCAAATGTCCTCATTAAACACTCTTCTCCTTATTCTACACAGTACATTTAAAAACTCAGTGATTAGGAGAAACAGCAAAGCAATAGAGACGGCAAACCTTTCTTGGAGTTAGCAACGCAGGTAGAAATCTCCCTATAAAATAAGGTTTCCTGAATATACTGGAATGAATGAAAAAAAGGAAAATGAATAAATTGCATGCACGCAATGATTAGTGAATGTATGTAACAAAAAGTACCCTAAGTATCAAAGCCAACGGATTCCAAAACATTTTTTAATATTCAATAGTAGAGCTTTACCAATCATTACTTACGAGCAAGTACATAACTTAAGTTCAAGTTATTCACCTTGCTTCCATTACAGTGCTTGGTACTTTGCCGGATTTTTCATAAGCGTCAAGGACTTTATCGACATCTGAAGAAGCCTGCTCAAGTTGCTATGACAAACAAATGTTCATTAACCTTTATACAGTACTGGTATGAAATAAAAATGACTCAATTAAATTGACAGGAGCACATTTTATTTCCACTATTGGCGTTTTTCACGAGTGCTCTTCTTGTTCTTTAATACAAACCTTTGCATGTTCACTTTTTGCCTCCGTCCCTGCAGAACTGTCTCCATACATTCTCACGAGTTCCACAGGCTCCTGCTCAAAATAGCAATCACAAACAGATTAGGTAAACCAAAAAATACAGACTTTCCTTCTTGCACAAGACTACAAACAGTCACGGATTATCTCCTAACAACATATCATTTTTGCTGCCAGCAAGTTATTGACCTGGCTCTGCTTATATAAAAAAGCGCATTAGCTGGGGGGCCAATGCAGTTCCTCCAATACTGAGGTAATGTACGTGGGGAGTATGGAGGGGGGGGGGACCAGACTGTTTTGTTTCCGATGTAAAAATATTTGACGACATTATTTCAATCTAGTCCCCGATTGCAGTCCCTTTAAAGTATAACAATACCAAGGCCTTCTTTTAATTTCAACATTACCCTAAGGTCCATCAGTCTAGTCTTTGCCAAGGACGCATAATCAGTAACGAGTTCGCGTAATTTGCTTGGTACTTGAGGAGCTTTGATAATGTGAACCTATGATTGGTGAAGAGAACATAAATTATTTTTTGGGATTACGTTGTAGGCCGTGTGATGTTTTTATGTCAATGTTTTTTTGTTTATTTCAGTTATAGTTTATTTCGCAGACACAGACAACTCAACAACGTTAACGTGTAAGTAACGTTTTTACAGTACTTTCGTCTCCACTTTTTATCATGCAAATCGTTTTATTTAAACTTTATCATTTCATTCTTTTGGTGTCCTAGCTCTATTACTTGCTCAAGATTCTTACAAAAAATACCGTAAATCTTCTATTAAGTTCCCTCCTCCTCTCAAATAGGCTCTCCCTTTTCAGTGGAAGAAGGTTAATAAGCCCCCCTGTCTTTTTAGCCTCCCCCCTGCCCCTTATTATTATTCACTGATAAATGATAGACTGTATTAATCAATCATGACTGTCAGGAGTCTATTGCGACTGTATAACTTTGTGTGGACTAATACAGGATGGTTTATTCACCAGCTGGAAGTCCGGATTTGTTTTTTAACCTCAGCTGCATGACCTCCAACTTCCTGTACTTGAGCCTTTCCACCTTGCATTCTCGTTATTGTGAAGAACTGATACTATATTTTTTGCTAAATTGAATAAGGCCCCAGTCTCTATTAAGCCCCCCCCCCCCCCCCCCCCCCCAACTTCTAAAAAAAAAAATACCCGAGGGGGGGCAGAAGGGGGGGTGCATGTGTAGACATAACTATGGGGCGTTTTACTCCCTCTCTTTTTTTTTTTCACACAAAACAAAAACAACATATACATAAACAAATATTAAACATTATTTTTTTTTATTTTTAAAAAATGAAATAGTTGCGACATATCCACAATACCCTAACAATATGATAAAAATACCTTCAAATATTCAGCAGGCTCATATGGCACAAGCTCAGAGAGAAACTTTATGAAAAACTGCACACTTTTCTTGGTATTCAACTTTAAGTTTCCTTGATCACCAAAGTAACCCTAAAACAAATATCATGACATAAACAGTGAAGCCAGGTAAGAAGCTACCAATGATACAAGGTTCTTTGGTCAGCAAATCCCTTTTGGGCTGTTAAATGCACCAGTTATATTTCAGCGTTTTCAGGTATGTTACGTATGTTTACTCATACTTTCAAGTTATGTTGTTTTGTACTATATTAATGTGCAATTAGTTATATATTTCTTGTGTGGTGAAAAACGTTTTTAAGGCAAGCACAAATAGCGACGGCACATTGAACAACTTCGAGTGCTATTACTACTACCATTGTCATTTACAAGTAAAACATCTAAGCTGGAGAAAACGCAAACCCATGGTACTGCGATACCAGTGCAACTAACCTAACAAAACAACTGGGCCACAGCAGACAACTTTTTAAGCTTGTAATACACCCGTTGGAGATGAAGATATGAAAGTGAATATACGAAATTTCAGTTCCTCTTTTACTAAGTCGTGTAAACAACTGGGATAAATTTTTCACACGTTAACATACATGAAAGGTCATAACTCCACTTTTCATATCTTTTAATTATCATTCTTATTATATTCAACAACTGATCCAATAAAGTTAATTTTGAGAAAAGTTGCCCTCGAATACGGCAACAGGAATTTAGCAATAGGAAACTGAATGTTAAATTGTGCTATTTCTCCCAATGTCCAAATAACGTTATACAGTAATTTGCCATCCGTTTGGAAATAATAACTAACGAAATCAGTGAAAAACTATACCCTTAAGATGAAGCAACAAATTAACTGATTTTAGAGGAGTTGTTTGGACGTTAGCATAAAGAGTACATAACAAACATAATGGTGTACTTATCTCAACAAGTCTTACCTGAAACCACATGACGTAAGGCTTAAAAACATGTCCACCTTCTAACGACATTTGTCTGACCATCACGAAGGCAATAAGAAGAGAATGACTGTCATTGTTATTCAATGACTCGTTCAACAAATCATTGACGTAACCTTAGGAATCAACAAAAGTTACATTTACTGACTGTCACTGGGAAATACTTTAAGTTCTGGCAGTACAACCCCCAAAAAAGAGAAGGTTGCAACTCCTGCTGTAGCTTGTTCAAAACATTTCAAGGTTAATTCAAGTTAAAACAACAAACAACAAATATAAAAACGTCCTGCAAGAACTCAGAGGTGTGGTAATAATTTTGCCAAATTAGGTAATGAAAGAGGCACAAACGTTTCTGGTTACTACCTTCAATCATGGATGCAGCCTCCTTTACAAGAACAACAAACGACGAGAGAAATGAAAGGACGCATGGTACGTTAACCTACAGGAAAAAAGAAGAGTTGATCTCAAAGTCTCACTAAGATAAAGCTCATCAAGGTTTAATGACAGTAGATACAGCCGGTATCTAGAAATGACACGGGGTAATTAAGAGATCGTAACCAAGTAATGGTTTTGGTTCCAAAACTTTTACATTTTCTTAACACAGATATCTTTAAGGCTACAAAAATGACAATAAAAACCAAAAATTTCAAAAACCTTTAGTTTCACAGTGAACTTAAAAGCATCTTTTAAACGTAACAAATGGTATTAAATCAGTAAAACTTAAATTTTTCCTAACTTTTCTTCAAAATTTATTTTTTCCTAACTGAAATTAACATTCTCTGTACTAGAAGAGTATCCTTTTTGACAATTTTCATTTATATGTTAACCACACACACCTGGTCCTTGAAAACGGCATTCTTCAGACACTCAATGAGAGTCATAGGATCAAAGATTAAAAGAAACTGAAATAAAAAACAACGCAAGTTACGTGTGAGGTCAATTTTAAAACAGTACTTGTTTCCTCACACTGTCTTGCTATATAGGATTAATGTTTAAGCAGAGATTTAGATGGATTCTCTTCAATAAAAGTTTAAAATAATAAGATCAATTACAATGCAGTGTAAAAGATACTTCTGGACGATTTACCTGTTCAATCACTGTCCTTGCAGTTTGATTAAGCGTTGAGAACTTAAAATCCTTTTGTTTACAAAAAACACGACTGTCAAGCTTTGGAGTGTCTACAACAAAACAAATAACACCAAAATAAAAACATTTAAAAGTAAGTAGAGTATCAACGGTCTTTTTATCAGGGTTAAACAGTTCGAATAAAAAAATAGGAGACTCAAGACAAGCTTTTTTTTGGCCTGAAAACCCATATTCAATCAACTAACTCAAAAGATGTCTGCGGTTTACAAGCAAAACACTCTAGTCTATTGCAAATATTACCTTTCTCCTTAAGTTAAAAACCATTTGGAGTCTGAAGCTTCTTGTGCAAGTGTTTGCACTTCAACAGCCTTGTTTGTGGCTAATGTATAGATTTAGCAGGGCTAAAAGTGAAGCTCTCATTAATTTCTAAAGTTTACTCAAAGAAAGTATAAATCGTGTAATGCTAAGCAGCAACGGGAATGAAAACAGGAGCACACTCTTTTGGCACATTTCTTTGCTGTTGTTTTGCATAATTAAAACATGAAACTTCCAGAAACTTCCCACACTGTAGTTATATGTTTTATGGAGATAATGTTGAGTGTTCCTGTGTTCACTTTTTTTTGCTGACACTCATTTTCACCTTTGTGGCCACTAGCATTTTTCATTTTCTCATCGCCGCTATAAATTTTACATGTTTTTCTTCCAACAAAATTGTTCTGCTTTGTTTTCTATCTCTTGCTCTAGCTCTTTCTCTGTTATCCACGTTAATGTAGACTTTAAAATTAAGTCAAAAGAAAGAATCGGCTTTGTTGTTGTTGTTGCTTTTTTGTCTCTAAAAGTCCGGGCGGCTATGTGATTTACCGCCAAAATGCCTGGGTGCTTGAAATGCAAACTTTCACCCAACTTACATGAAGGGGTGGATGTACGTCGTACAGACGATTTTCTCAGCTAAAATTTCTTCGATGCATAACCAAATTTTCTTGCTCTGCTGTGCATGCTTTGCACATGCGAGAGGTCCACTATAAAGTAATGAGGAGATCATGCAATAGACCTGTACTACACCTGCTATTTAACATAATACAACAAATTAAACAAAACAAAGTTTACTGAAAGGGAAAACATTAAAAGTTTCTGTCAATCCTTTCTGGTTTGGTTTGTTTGCTTGTTATTTAACCTTCTTACCACCATCTGGCTGTTGCATAAAGAACAAATTGAGCTGCCTTGAAAAGAACTTCCTTATGGCTGGCCATGGTATATCATTTAATCTTCTCACTATTTCTAACACACAAAATCTACAAAGAGAAAACAAGAATTATAGCTGTGGGGTAATATTAACAAAAGATTAAAATTTCTAACCCTTGTTGGCAACCTTAAATCAGCCTTAGTGGTATAATGCAAATGGCCCTGTTATCTACTCCCAATCACACTGATCACCGTTCACATGAATCTTAGCTGTCTACAGTCCTCAAACTAGTAGAATAAAGATTATCATTTAATAACATTGTATAGTGTTGATACTTTCGCGCAGTCTCATACCTTACATCAGGTATGAACCATGCAAAAATCCTAATATATAAATTTAGCCAAGGCCAACAGCGAAGCTCTAGAGTGATCTTTTAAGAAATGTATTTCTCAAGTCATTCAAATTTGGATGTACAGGTAAGCAGAAAGAAAACTGACTTCCTCCTCAGAAAATGGACCTGGGCCGCCTGTGATCAATTGAAAACTAATAACTGCATGGTAAGAGGATGAAAAAAAGTACATCACCATAAAGAGTTGTAAACCTGAACCCATGATCCAGTCATGTGACACTGGTCAGCAGATACCCTGGGACATACATACTGACAAGAGACGATTTTGTGAGAGCCAAAATTTCTTGGATGCATAGATAACCAAATTTTGGTTAACTATGGTGCTCCTCTACAATCAGAGACAATTTAACCGTTGGGAAGGATAACAATTTTTAACTACATTTTGACTTCTCTTCACCAGCCTGACTTCTGGTTTAATGTTGTAAAAAGACTGAATTGTTTGAGTTATTTTTCTTGTTCCGTTTCCTAACTTTGAAAAGGGATCAAGGGGGACATTCAGGACACGATAAAAGCTATTGAATTCCACATCAAGCACTGCTGGATGAAAATATGCCAGGAAATTATGTTCAGTAAAAACAACTTTTCCTACTACTTTTGTTTCAGATTGTAGTTCTTTAAAAATCCAGTGAGTAGATTGGCAGAAGAGTACCCAAGGAATCATGGGATTGCTCAATGGGCACTCTGACTTTTCTATACCCATAGCCATAAGTTTATAGACCTAATGTCACATCAGCTGCTCATAACAAACCTTTCTTTACTTTCTTCTTGTGGAGGACAGTCCATTTTTCGGTAAAGCAGAAAATCACTTTTCTCTACTACAATATCCATGATGTCCTGGGAAATCTAAATACATAAATCTGGTTAAGTTATAAACAGAAAACAAGCCAATAATTAATCACAAGTTTGTTACCTTTTCTAATCTGTTGTTTGCAATAATTGGTCCTTCCTTTGTCTTGTTTTCAAGAAATGAAAATGAAATCAATCTTCCTAAAAGAACTGAAAGAAAGTTTTAAGTTTTAAAATGCTATCACAAAACTCACAAAAATGATTAAAAATATTACATATTTACATTGACTGTATCATAGGTCTTGTCAGTGTGCAAGTTCCAATCCATTAATTTTAAAAGAGACTCCATTCTTAAATACATAATCCATTAAAATCTTGTGATATCTACCATAATTATAATGAGGATCCATTGATGCCATGTAATAGTTTGAAGACATTTACTGATACTTTTAGTTTAAATAATAGTGGTTTTAAACAAGAATTTGATATTGAAAAATTCTTTGATCAATAATTTCATTAAAAATAGATGAAACACATATAGTGTCAGCTCTTTAGAGGATTAACCTGACAAAATACTTCCTTGCTTTTCCTTGTTGGTTATATTTGTACAGAGAGACAAAAGTCCATGAGAAACCACTTCCACAGTTTCATCATACTGCAAACAGCTTAGAAAAAAGTAAAAAAAAATGTAGTAAGTTAAAAAGGTGAGTTATGGTTGATAAGTTCACTTAACGTAATGAATGATGTACTTCAATTCAGGTTCAGGTGACATTGAGATTTTCCTGATTACCACAGTACGATAATATACATTAAAAATACCTTACCATGCTAAATATGTATCAAAGGAAACTATACAGTCCTTGTGTAGCAACCAGACAACTTCCAGGGGAAGACAAGGACCCTACAAAATATGATTAACAACTTTTAAGACAAGGTAATTCATGAAGTATAGCTCAAGTATTAGTTTCAATTTACACCTCTTTTGACTAAGGGCAGTTCTGAAATGCAGGTCACATTGAGCACAGGTCAATCTTCCTGTCTCTTTCATCATAGTGGTATGTGCTAACTTATGGCTTAGTCTTTAGACCTACCACTTGACTCAAGGCAGCTAGTTTTTAAGCTAAGAGAATATTATTAAGGACTAGTACATTAGTACCTTACTAGTCAAATGCTTGGCAAAATAAACTCTGTTGAAACACTGCTTGGCCAGCATCTGCTTTATCACTTTTACAACACTGAGCACAGAGTCCTACAATAAACAAACAAACACCATTTCCAGATCCAGACTTTATCCACAGTTTTATTACATGCAACAAAACACAGAAGCTTTTTCTCTGTTTTTTGTTTTAATCATTACTTTCTTTACAAATGTCTGACAACAAGTAATTCATGAGTTACGTATTATAGCAATTAAGTGAAACTATATATTCAGTTTTTAATTAGCCTGCGAGCCGTGGTTTCTCCAAGCCGAATGATTTGAAGCACAGCATCTGGCCAGGAGAAACCACTGCTCGCAGTGTAGTTTTTAATAGAATTGTCACTAGAAATAAACCTGGGGTCTAATGAGGGAAAAAATAACAAGTTCAGGATGTTATAATCACCTGATCGAGGTACTCTGTGATTTAAGTTAAATTATGACTGAAACAGTAGTAACAATGTTTAACACAGAAATTGGACATCACAAGGTTTCAGTGGTCAGTATAGGCATTGATAAGTCAAGTGTGTCACTCTGTTTTCCCTCAACACAACTGAACGTAAATGTTTTATGGTTCTTTTTCTATAATTCTGCTCAGTTCACCAAAAAAACAATCACCATTCTTGGAACATTCTCCATAATAGCACTTGAAATGGTAATCACTTTGAGGGTGCCCCTCACTCTAATATAGCGGCGATAAAAGGAAGTAACTGTACAATTGTTTGTTAAAGCCTTCATTGCATTGAAACATCTGCATAAACAACTCACACACAGTACTGAGATGGCTGTGGCATTTTACTTGCTTGAAAAGAAAAAGAAAAAAAGAATGATGGAAATTCATACATCCTTATTTTCACAATCCTTTACTGTTTTCTTTATAGGTCAGACATAATTACCAGTTGACATCCTGCCAACAGCTGTTGTGAGGCAGGCTTGCAAACACTTATCAGTCTTTTTGCCATGCTCTCTGCTGCCAAAAGGTCCAAAGGGCATGATGCCTTTGTTGCCTGGCATTTCAGCAAGTTGACACAACTGTCCGCTGGAAAAACAGACAGATTAAACAGCAATTAAAAACTATGTATGTCTTAATCTTCTGATCTCAACCTTTTCTTCTGTGTCTAGCATTACTTTGTCCTTTGTTCATACTTTGCCCTTTTTTTCATACTTTTGAGAGCTGTGTCTTACAGCTTACAAACCTTACGGTTTGCATCAGTTTGTTCCAAGTGAAGCTGTTTCTACCAGAGTTCAATTGATATTAAATCACTGCTCTTTTGTATGATAGATTAGGCACAGAGATGAAGAACTGTTATTGAAAACTGCTCTTCTTCTACTCTTCCATTGATACCACTTATTGCCATAAATTATAAATCAAATATTTGGAATTGTGGTTAAGCAAAGGTATGATATTTCAAAGAACAAAGAATGCAACATAAAAAAGGAACCTGACAACAGACTTTGGCAAAGAAAAGGGGGCAAAATGATCAGACAAATTCTCTTGTTTGAGAGGTGCTACGTTGTAAGTTTGAGCTGTTAATGACTGAGACTCAAACAACCAAGATGAGACAACTAGACGAACAAGCCACTGAGGCAACATAACACCATAATGAAAAATTACTATGTTATTATTTGCCAGAAGAGCATACCTCTGCAGACCCCCCCAGCGTATTCTCACAAGTGCTCTTTAAGATAAGCACCCCTTGCTCTCAACCTTGCTCCATAATACCTGCTGTATTGACTATACCTTAGTTAAATCAAACCATTTAAATCAACTTATCAACATTTTCTTCCCTCCCTGTTTGATCACTAGCGGTGTATTCCTACTGATGACTGATCTGTAAAACAGGTCAACTACATGCCAAGATGATTTGAATCAAATTGGTTCCTTTACAGTTTAGTCAGGGACATTTTCTACTATTTCCCTTTGTCCTTTCAGCATAATAAGAGCAATTCAGCTGTCTTATAGAAAAACCAATTCAGTCTGGGTATGTAAGATAACCCTCAGAAACTGCTATCTCGGCTACAATTCTCATCCAGACAGTATTACCTCAACCACCCCCCCCCCCCCAGCCCCCACCAAAAAAAAACCCCAGCAGACCAAACAAAAAAACTTTCAACTTTAATTTTTTGTAGACATTTGTTAAAGAGTCGCCTGTTTGAAAAATTTTCTCCTCATACATATATTTTACTAAAAATAACACTTGTTAAAAAACATATTTGAAAAGAAAAGAAGAAAAAAACAAACATTTTTACGCGATATAATCCATTTTGTTCCTTTAACTTTTATTCAAGGAAATTTTTTTCCTTTTCCCTTTTTCCTTTCCACATAAAAAGAGCAATTCCGCTTTCTTATAAAAAAACCAATTCCGTCTGGGGATTTAAGATAACCCTCAAAAACTGCTATCCCGGCTAAAATTCTCAACCAGGCAGTTTTACCCCAACCCCCCCCCCCCCTGCCCCCCAATCAAAAAAACTCACCAGTAAGCACAGAAAATGATTCTAACTTTGATGGTTCTTGATGCCATGAGTCACATGTTCCTATATTAGAGATATCTTCGCTCTACAAATGTTATTGATGAAATGAACAGTTGGTGATAACATATATTGAAAGAGCAAGTATCAACATACACATATTTTTTACCACTTAACCCATTCGCCCCTGAACCGCCCGTCACCGCCCATGTGGATCCACCCCCTTTCTACCCCTTGTGGCGTTATCAGTTTTAACAGCCAAGGACAACTTTGTCAGCTAACTTGTGCAGAGTAAAGAGATCTTTCAAACCATACCAGAATGAGCACAATTTAGTCAAGGACACTGGAGAAAATGGCAAAAAAACATGTAAGATTGACCTGTAAATCTCCATGAAAATCTTGTTCCATTGCCCACCTACCTTTCCTTTCACCTAATCCTAAGATCCTAAAAGCTTTCCTAAAAACTCTTCCCACTGAAATGATGCCTGCTAAATGCCCAGCAAGAGAAAAAAAAATGAGGCAAGAAAAGTGAAAAAAGAGGGAAGGAGAGAAAGCGAAAAGTAAAAGTCAAGACTGCTGTGTCACTTTTATACCCAAAAACTATCTCGAAATTTTGCTTTCTGCCAATGCCCGAACTACGCAAGCTGATATATTTCATCTGGATCAGAAGGCCGTGAAGTGTGCGACCTGTGAACGGGTTTGTGGTCAGTTTTAGCCCTTTATAGAATGACAGTGACCAGAAAACCACTCGACTAGCTTCAAACGCATTTTTCGGCAAAATCTCCAGGAGCGAATGGGTTAAGTTACTCTGACTAAGTCAACATTAATTTTAATTTATAATATATAAATTATTATGTGACAATGGGATGTCAGACAGGCCACTTCACCCCATGTCCTGTTCATTCTGAAAAAAATTAAGATCCAAAGGCAGATAAAAATATAATTCTTAATCATTCTGGATAACTTTTAAGCCATTCTCTGCATATTATACGTCATTTTTTCAGTATACCTCCTGATATTTTATCCATAAGACTGCTAACCATTGTCTTTAAAAAAATTGCTTTCTCACATGTTAAATTTTTTGTATTAAGAAGACATGGACCAGGGCTGTCAATAAGGGCCAGTAGCCAGCCAAACCCGCCAGCTAGTTAGCCATCCTTAGCTGGCTACTTTCATCTCCTTCTACCATAACTACTAACAAAAAAAAGCGCCATTGAAGAAAATTTGTAAAGCATCCGTTTCCAAGTTTTGAATGATATTGAATGAATATTTAAACAGGTTTAGATCTGTGAAACGCTTGAACCATGCGATGTTTGGAATGCCTGGGACATTTCAACCGCATTGTTCCCAGTCTTGCATGTATTCTGGCATCCGCGGTGGAAAATACCTCCTGGAAACCCCTGGAAATGGCATTTCTGAGACTCTAAATTTCAAAATATCCCTAGATGCCTCAGCCATCAAGAACTTATGCCTTTGGTGCGTGTTCCAAAGCCGCCTACTATCCATTATCAGCCAGCAACTCAAAAACTTTTTGACAGCGCTGATGCACTTCTTTTTATGTCAACTTTAATATCCACAGAAGACTGGTAAAAGTCGAGCCCCAGCTGTTTAACAAAAGATGGATAGCATTATCTGATGGATAAATCTCTATCCACTGAATAGCCCAATTGGTTTTCCAACTATTTATCCACTGGATAGTGACTTATCCGGTGGATACCACTATATATCCAGCTTTTGAAAAACTGGAGCCTGGTGGGTGAGTGCAGTTGAGAGTTTGCTTAGAATTTACTGCTGTAAGAATTTACTTAATTTGAAGGCAATTAGCTTCAAAGTGTTCTTTTTTCAAAATTCTGCCGAGATGAGAAACAAACTTCTATCTTGTCAAATTACTAGGTGTCACATTCTCAATTCCAACCTCCAGGGCAAAGACTGCCATCCCCCGCAACAATTTTTCAGCCATCAGCCCCTAAAAAGAGGGAACTCTTTGTTCAGTGGGCCAACAGGATCATCGCTACCCACCTCTCTTATCATTCCTTCAAAACTTCGGTTGTCATCAACCAGCTTAAAAATTATATTTTTTATTTCATCCATTGAGTTAAGACTTGCATGCTTGAATCCCTGATTGCTTTCTAGACATAAAAAATCAAGCAATTTTGTTAAATAAGTTCCTCTGTTACTTCCTGGAAGAAGTAATCAACTGAATATTAAGGTTAGTCGTGACGATCGAGCTGATGAGTTCTGGAAAGGATGCGTAGATGCATGCAGATGTATCGGGTGCGTCGAAGACGTCCTTACCTAACAACCGTTTGAATTTAACTTGTGCAGTTTCCACAGTCTCGCCATCTAAAGAATCTTCCCAATGGCGTTTTGATCTTGCATTCAACTCAACCTCCATAACTAATGATCACGTTTCGACAAAAACACAAGCTCCGTTCTTCACTTTTTTGAATGAGCTACTGGCAGAGCGCGCGACAATGCAGAAAACAATCAGGCGTTCAAAGCCTTGCCCAGCTTCGTGTAAATCATCATAAAGTGTCGATCAAAGGACCAATCTAGTCACGTGATGCAATCGTTTTTGGCGCGCGCGCTGTTTAACTAAACAAAGATGGCTTCTTCTCCACTTTCAACTTCAGAAGGGGAACTGTTTGAGGTAAAGAATGAAAAAAAATACCTTAAATAACTGAGTTGCTTTTTTAAAGTTAACTAGCTGTTAGAAATCGGGACGTGAAAAGAGCAGTAGTTTGTCTGTAATTTTTTATGTGCGAGAGTGAAGCAGCGACAGTCGCACACATCGACCTCCAAGCTTGAGCTTATTTTTTCATGACTGGTCGATTATTTGCATGAAAAATGATTTTTAATCATTCTTCATCACATCTATTGCAGCAGAAAAGCTTAGATAAATGGACCAAAGACTAGTATATCATTATGCAGGGATCTTAACTTTTTAAATAAGTTTACCAGCAGATAAATACCGGCCTTTCAATGCAAACTCAATCGAGACTGTTGATCAATGTAAGCTTAAGTTTAAGTTTCTTACTCATAACTTAAAAAATCAGAAAATTTTATTTCTAAATTTCTTGATGAAAACAAGCTTAAATAATGCAAAATATTCTTAATGAAGGGAAAGCTCAAGTTCTTGAACATTGTAACCTTGAGAACCTGTGCTACAATTTATATGCGTGCAGTAGCCAATAAAACAGGTGCCACATTGTTGGGCTGCTGAAATTTAGTACCTGAGCTACTTGAACTACAAGTATGTGGTGTAGTACTTATTTTTCCAAGAAACCACCAAGAGTTGAGCATTTGCTATGTAGAAGTCTGATTTTTTTTATTTGTAGGTTGAAACTCTTCTGGGAAGGAGAACCAGACATGGTAAAGTGGAGTATTTAGTGAGATGGAAGGGTTATGACCAAAGCGAAGATTCATGGGAACCTGTAAAAAATTTACAAGGTTGCCAAGAGCTGATTAAAAAGTTTGCTTCTCCAAGGTCTCCATCACCTGGAAGAAAAGCAAGAACACCGAAGGTGCTTTATATCATGATCTTTGTGTTTTGGCGTTCTTTGTCCCATTCAGTTCTAGTCAGTTCAATCACCTATTCCTGTAAATGTTTCAACTTTGTTCAGGTGTAACATTTTATTTGATTTATTGCTGCAGCATTAATTAAGTTTTAAGCGTTTCTGATGCAATCTTTATTCAAAGGCAGCATTCATTTGAGGGCAATATTTATTAGTATTTCAAAATCACATTTCTTTAATCATGGACAACAGTTATGATGAACCAGTTGTGAATATTGTGTTCAACAGAAACATGTCAGAGTTCCAATGTCTCACTTTTTTTGCCAAGAGAGAATTATATTATTTTGTCTTGATGGTGTAGATTACAAAGTTGCACCAAGTTTTTTCTTATAATCCTGAAATAAATGCTGCATTTATCTGGTTCGGTGTGGCATTTATTCAAGGGCTGTGTTCACTAGTAATTTGCTTTTGGCTGCTGCACTTAATCAAGGGGGTGTTTATTCAAGGGTAGAAATTGATTAAGTTAATACAATATTGAAGAAAATTAACATGCTTGCACATGTACATGTATATCTTGTGGTTCAATGTTATCCTTGGTTTAAATTTTATTTTCCTTTGTTTCAAACTCATAATCATACATTAATATACCCCTAAAAAAAGGAAAATAAAATTTAAAGCAAGGATAAAATTGATTATCTTTGGAGATACATGTACAGGAGCAGAGAATATAAACTCTGATTAGTCAGAAGCTGGGAATTTTTAAATTCCCAGCAATTAGTAGCAGCAATTAGTTTCAATTAGTTTCCCAGCAATTAGTTTCTAGAAGCATTTAAAAATGCTTCTAGAAACAGATTTTCATTCAGAATTAGTGTCCTGGGGTTCTGCCGTATATAGTTTGTAAGATTAACTGTTTAATTAACAAAATGCAGGGCTGTGCTCTAGCAGAGCCCGGTGGCCCCTGACGCCTAACTTTTGCCCTTGGATGACTAGAAAATCTCAGATTTTTCCTACAAATTATATGCTGGGCACCCTAGATTTTACAGTTTCAGAGCACTGGGCTCCCTTCAATTTTCCTTAGAGCACAGCGTTGAAATGATTGTCATTAATAAAATTAGTCCACAGTTAAAACACTGAAAACTTTTCTTTGACTTGCATACAGGTGAAAATTAAGTGAAATTCCTATTAAGAGATGTTTTCAATTAAAATCCTTTATCAATCGGTTTGTCCAATCCAAATTAATATTTCTGATGATTGATTATGAAATCTTAGGTAATTCCCAACTTTTAGTTTTAGTTGTTGTAGGAAATATCCTTACTATTATTGTGGTTGGGATTAGACCCAGACAAGTTTCCTCTACCCTTTTGTTTCCTTTAAAACTCTTGGATTTGTCCAGAGATGATTTAGTTTACATTGCCTTATTCAATTTTTTTTATCATTAATTTAATCTCTTAGAGGGCTCAAAGTAGCCAAGTGTTGCAGACAAACAAGAAAATTACAGAGGAGTATACCAAACTTAAGACTCCAAAAGGTACACTGACATCTGACTATATCATACTTCATCAAAGAAAGGGTAAGTCGCGAATAGTTGATCACAACATAACTTCAGAATTACTCAGTGGTGTCATTAAGGGCCAAGGCCAGGGATTTCATAAGCATGACCCCCAGCAACTTTCAAAGGAAACAAAAGGAAAAAATTCCCAGGTGTTAAATTCCCTGTCTACTAATTGCGTACACCTACCCCTAGCAACTTGAAATCTTAGTGGCAACCCTGATTATATTACCAGTACAGTCAAAAGGGGGTGATCATGGTTTTTCACCACTGAAATATCACTGTATATTAAAGCTACCCAAAGAAGGAACTTCCAACACCCATCTCATTGTTCATGTGCTTTGTTAGTGCTTCAGTTTATCTTCCCTATCATAACCAACATCTACACCTGGTCCAAGGGTGTAATAACCTGCGATCAGGCAATTTTTTTTTTTTTTCGGCGGGAGGAAAAAAAAAATCGCCTGATCGCAGGTTAAGGATGTAACTTATCAGAGGTTACACTGTACATGATTTTTGGATCTTAACTACCGGTATGTGACTTCAAGATCCTTAAGGGAAATGCATTTACCAGGAAACTTTAAAGTACCTTTTGACATTTGCGTTTTTGCCATGGACAAAAAATGAAACTAACTACCTAGAGAACTCATTACAGTGAAATCGTGTTGATATGGACACTGAGGTGATACAGAAAGACTTCATATTAACAAGGTGTTTGTATTAAGCAGGTTGAATTTAGAGAAAATGTAATGGCTTTCTTTCCCCAGGGACAAAGCAAACTGTCCATAATAGTGAGGTGTCCGTATTTGATAGGTGTCTGTAAAACTGGGGTTTGTTAATAGTTAACCGACATTATAAGTTGAACAAAGGAATATTTCAATTTGTGAAAGCCTCCATGATTGTGTTTAGTGTAGTACACTTAAAGATATCAATCTTCTTTTTGGTTAGTCATATTTTGAGTGCCAAGGTGTCCCCTGAATGGAGGTTAAACCTGAGTTTTGGTACCCAGAAAAAGTGTCCCTTCAATAGAGGTGATAGATACAAAGATTATGTGAGCATTTTTCTGGGACCAAATTTGATGTCTCCTTAATGGAGTTGTCCCTTGAATAGGGGTGTTCCAAAGGAGAGGTTCCACTGTTTACATGACACTAGCTTTCTAATCTGATTGGCTATCTGCTGCCATGATACGAGCATTAACAGGACAGTATAATAGGACAGTACTCATCTTGTCTGAGTAATTGGACAGTATGCGCCAATGGTTGCTTGAATGGGTATGTTTTTTGCTTCTGGCTTAAAAAAAAATTAAAAATCAAAGCTGGTAATATGTGGGTAAGAGAGAATCTGATTATCAGTGCGATAGACTGGTAATTTTCTATTTGAAAGTTGCTTTGACAAGTTGTGACATCTCTCAACAGGTCCTCTATTTGCCAGACAACAAGTCAAAGAAGAAAAAGAAAATACCAAAATTACTAAAACAGTTGAGGTCATACAAGAAAAGCATAAGAATTTGGTGGGTAAAGGATTACCAGCTAAGAAAGCTAGTCCACAGAAAAAATCCGCAGTGACAACTGATGCACAAAGGGAAGTGTTTAAAATTGTGGCAGGATTAGTTGTTGTTACTCTTGTAATGATTTTGCTTCTCTCATTTATTCCTGGAGTTGGAAATGATAAAAACTAATCTTATCTGTAAATACTGTTATAGTTCACATTAGTTGAAATTACTTTTAGCCTTTTAAGTCATAAATGAATATGTATGATACGCTTTTTTTTAATCTAGAGAGAATGATACACTTGCCTTCTTATCTATTTTTAATTCAGGTCACAAAAAGACTCAACTTGCAAATAGTTTGGTGATCTGTGTGATAAACTGAATGTAAACATACATGTAATTTCCTATAAGGATAAAAAAATTTTGGTATTTGGGCAAAATATGTTCGTGATGTGATATGCTGGAAGAGTTTTTTTCTGGATACCAAACATACTGTAGCTTTGGAAAATCCAAGTGTATATCTTGTCCACAATAGCCACAAAAGCCTGAGTGGGAGATGTAAAGAGGGCGAGGGAGGGGGGGGGGGAGAGAAAAAAGGAAGAGAAAAGAGAGGGAGTCAGCTACCTTTTCTCTCCAATCTTCTCTCCCTTTTCCCCATCCTTCCCTTCCTTTTTCCACACCTGCCACACCCAACAATAACAATAACAAATAAAAAAAACTCATTATACCACATCCGGGTAATCATGAAATTTTCTTATAATAATGATTATCCTCATCACATATTGTGGTTTTCAGAAAGGTCATTACACAGCATTCACAGAAGCCATCATTTTTCTACAGTGTTCAGTGCTCTTTTGATGATGTAAATATCGTTTTTTGCACCTTACTAAATTTTTACAATTTTTGCATTTTAAATTGGTATATTATTTATTTTACGAATAACTTTCCATTGACCAAGATACATGTATATTAGCACTATGTTACAAAACTGATATTTCCAATACTTTGTAGTTTACATTCTGTGACGTTGCATTTAGTTCAGCTTCGTTAACAGTATGGTTTAGTGCAACATTAATGGCCATAAAGTAGGTTGGAAGATCATCAGAAATAGTGTTAGTATAGTGCACAGAGCCAAAGTAAAATGGGGAGAAATCTCAAGTCAAAGACTTTGCGTGAACTTGAACTACTTCCCAAGGAAAGCTATTCCATCTCCAAAATTTTCGGTAGATAGCTAATAACCCGTATTCGATTCCATTAATCCCTAGCTTTCAAATAAGGACCAGTTTAAAACAATTCATGTTTAAAAGAGTTATGTCTACGTTAGAACAGTAATACTGTAATTACAGTGAGACTACTAGAACTGGAGCACTTAGAAGAGGATTATCCAATCACAACGTTTTTGAAAACAAAAGATTCTCTAGTTTTTTGGCAAATGGACCAATAAAATTCAACGTTCACTATGCAACCGCTGAAAACCTCACCTCTGAGGAAAGAGCCCTCAAATTCATGATTGTTATTTGTGACGTCCGTTTCCAAAAAAACTTTAGAATCTTTTTTTGAAAAACCGTTGTGATTGGATAATCTTCTTCCAAGTGCCCTGGATCGAGTAGTCGCCCCGTAGTGATAACTGTATTTTTTAACAATTCCTCAGGGGCACCCAACGTCAATTTTCGGAAATTATCTGTTCGGAAGAAGTTTTGAGGTCTAGAATTTTCGGAACATTTGTTGTAAAATTTCTTTCTTGCCTGCCTCTCCTAGGATTTTCGAACATCTAAAAAATGGTATAATTGCCCATTTTTAACAGATTTTTACCCTAAAAAGCTCACCAAGAATTTTCGGGAGCCTTTTTTCTGGCTGAAATTTTCGAAAAGGTAAGTTTTGATCCCTATAATTTTCGCATCACTAAACTTTCAGCTAGAAAATCCGAACAAAAGAAAAATTTTCAGGGGATAAAAATGTGCCTATATATACCGTTTAAATACTAAAATAAGTGTAACAATGCTATGTTTAAGTGGTTTTGAACTATATTATCGTTGGGTGCCCCTGATTCCTCTTGCAAATACCCTGGTTTCGAACAGAAGGCATAAGACAACTCAGAAATGGACCATTGTTACAGAATTATTTGAGAGAAAAATCAGTTTGCACATGTAAGTAGAGTAGTTCACCAAATAAACAAGTTTCTATTTACGATATGATTTTAGTCGTTACACTGTGTGGCCTACATTTTTTTTACTGTCTTCAAGGATCTTGGTTCGCATTGGCGTTTAGTCGCTTTAAAATTCTCCCTCTCCTTCTCACTCGGTTACGTTTGGTCAACAAAGTTGTCAACCCGCAAAACGTTTTATATGTCCTAGTTTTGGGCAGATCCTCAGAGATGTTGCTTATTGACCCCTGTTCGATCGGTTAACTCTTCGAATTTCAAGGTTGCGGTGATACTGTGCTCTTGACTACTATTTTGTCAAGTCGTGGTGGGCCATTAGAAATAACCGGAGGTGGGGTGACAATTCCCAAAAAAATTCCTGCAAGGAAAACTTCCCTGAAAGGAAAATCACGCAAGCGGTGGTACCGAAAAAAAATGATTAATGCAGAGGAAATGACATACATGGCATTACTAGCATTACAGGGAAAAGTTAACCTATAACATTGCCTAAAGATTAAGATTCTAGATGAAAGATTTTCTCAACGATATAACAAAATAAAGTTTCCAACAATTAATATCAGTACTATTTTGTTTTTATANATTACTAGCATTACAGGGAAAAGTTAACCTATAACATTGCCTAAAGATTAAGATTCTAGATGAAAGATTTTCTCAACGATATAACAAAATAAAGTTTCCAACAATTAATATCAGTACTATTTTGTTTTTATATGAAACACTTACAACGGTAAAAATAATGAAATGTACTAGATGCATTAAAGTGCCATTTTTTTCTTATTTGAAAAGCAGTATGGTAATGGCTCAATTGTGTACAGATTCCCAACAATAAATGTTAGCGTCTTTTTGTGTCTGTTTTGTAATGTTCAAAACAGCAAAATGTACTTTACCAGTAAGGAAAACATAACACCGACACAAAGTCTTTTGAGGCGACTTAAAAAATACCTTATTAAAATAGCTTCAAAGCCGTTTTCATCCGTCTGCATGAGACGCGCTGGTGAACAAGTTGAAAGAAAACTTTCAATCGTCAAAATTAAGAATGAACTATTAAAACACGAGTATCGAGAAAAAGGGGGGAAATGGGGCTTTCGTGACGATAGTGGCATTGATGACTTGAAAAATGTCTTAATTGCGTAACAGTGACACATTTTTGAAAGACTGAGCACTTCAAGGCAAATTTGTCAGTTGTTTTTCTCGGTTCATTGTATATTATTTAAGGCGTCTTCGCAGTCGTTCTCGGTCAGTGCATTTCTCGTCTTTGTTGTGAGACTGCCGTAAAGTTTAAAACTGAATGAATGCAAGGCAAAGTTGAGAAAACTTTATTTTGTACCCGAAAAATCTAATTCCAAGAAATTTCAGAGTAATGAAACAATTGTTTCTAGGGATCTTTCTCCTTATCCTGTATGCCTGTCAGACGCAATTAACAGTGGCGGATCCAGGGAAGGGGCCCGCCCCTTATTTTTGGACCAAACTGACGGCCCTGAGGGAAACATAATATTTAATTGTCGTGGCTTGTTTATGATAGAACGCGTTTAACTTTTGCATTGCCTAAGCATGCGGATAATGATCGCAACATTTTCAACGTTTCCACCACCTACTAGCGGTCTTGACCAGGAGATGGTGTCGTTTTGTTTTGAGAATTCATTTTTCTTTTGTCCTTTTTTTTTACAACAATTTAACGATATAAAAGCCATCACGCCATCACGTTCGGCAAAGTCCGGGCATGTCGTCATGGAAACTGACATGTGTTTATCTTGAAGTTTTCCTTGTCAATGTCTATCCATTATTTATTTTATTTTATTCTATTTTAACCTCCATGTATTTTTATTGTCTATTTTTATTAGCCTGCGTGGCAGGCGCAAAAAGGGGAGGGAGAAAAGCACGAAAGAGGGGAAAGGGAAGGTCCCTTCCCCTCTCTCCCCTACCCCCCTCCCCTTTTCCCTTTTTCCCTATCCCCTACCCGTTTCGACGCCTGCTACGCAGGATAATTTTTATTGCATTGTGTATTTCATTCCCGGACAGCCATCGCGTGGGTTGCCTGTGGTATGATGTTGGAGTTAATCCGGGTATTTTTCTTTGGTTGTCATGGTGCACGGTGAAAAGGATGCCTGTTTATTTTCGCCGGACTTCTTTAGTTCTAATTTTTATTCGAGAACTTCCTTTTGCTTCCGTTTAAAATAAGGTCAGAATTTTGAAGATGCCAGTGAAAAAGAAGAGTGGAAAATCCAAGTAAGTAAACTGGTGTTAGTTCGTGCCGATGCGAAAATGAGTCAAGGATTACTTTGATCCACTGAGTTAGCTTATTTGAGCTTGCGTACCCCAACGTACATTGTGTACGCTTTGAACATGCTTCTTAATGTTTACTTTTCTTTCATGCTAGATCTGGAGGTAAAAAGAAAGGGGCAAAAAAAGCCAAGAAGTCAAAAGATGAACTTGCTAAGGTAAAGAAGGGGCACTGCAGTTCTCTTGAATATCTTGGTTTTCAAGACCCCCGCGCCGAGTACAGCTGATTTAGGGCAATTTCGTAGCGACTGACTGTTGAAACGTACAAAGAATGTGTCCTTCTGAACAGTTGATGTGCGCGGGAAAAGGCGTAAGCTTTTAGGGGAGGGGGAGATGTGGTTTCATAATGATTATCCTTCTATCCTGACAAGGACCTTGCAGTTATATATTTAATACGACATGTCAAAATCCTCTTTTCCATTCGTAAACCCATGTTTGTGTATTCATCCTTTGACTTATTTTCAAGTCATTTCCAGAGGTATCATCTCGCTGAGTGCAGGGTTGTCACTAAGATTTCAAGTTGCCAGGTACTTGTTGTAAGTAGCTGGGGAGGTCCCCCCCTCCCCCCCTCCCCCCTCCCCCCCCCCCACAAGAAGATTTTGAAGTGCAACTTCTACCGTTTTCCAAAAGGCATTACCGTCCCAAAAAAGCAATCTTCATCAAGAGTACAGCTACTTTAGCGGTTTTATGATGATCACGTCTTTATTAAAGATAACTACAACATTCTGAGACACTAAAATAATAAGTTTTTACTTTACGTAAAGGCTTGTTGGAAGGTTTTTTTAGTGGCCGCCAATGGGAATATACATGTAAGCACTGGGTCTGATAAAAATGACAGGTAGGCACCGGTCATGTTATCCACGCAGTCTTATCTTCACGAAGACAAGGCGCATGCTGGCCAGTGATGTGTTAAATATCATAACGATACGTTACAAATGTTAAAAAGTGGAAAGGACAATCGATTGTTATATGGTGCAAATGAACTAACATGCGCTGTAAAATCAGTTGTAAATCCTCATTTAGTTATACGTAAGAACGAAACAACTTACAGAAAACAAAAGTAAAACTAATATTACAAATGAATTAACCCACAGAGAAGCGGAAAGAAGACAAGCGGACGATGAATGTACCAAAATCATCATAAACATAAGGTTACTATGGTGTGTTGAAAATTATGATAAGGCTAAAACAAGCGTAACGTATGAAAAATCGTGGGATAAAATACCGTATTTATTCGATTTAAACCGCCCTGGGGGCTTATTAAATTTTTGGACCTTGAGAGTGGGCCCTTATTCAGGGTGGGCACTTATTCGAGGCTGGGTGCTTATTAAATTTCACTATTTTCAGCAAGTGTAGTATGTTTATTTTGCAACAAATAAAAAAATAAGTCATGACAAAACGCAAAGATGTAACAATTAAATCAAGTTTCCGTAAAATACTCTGAAGGAAACTCTGTCTTCGGGGAAGTTTGTAATTAGTAGTTACCGTATTTATTCGATTAACCGCCCTGGGCGCTTATTAAATTTTTGGACCTTGAGAGTGGGCGCTTATTTGAGGTGGGCACTTATTAAATTTTCACCATTTTCAGCAAGTGAAGTATATTTTATTTTGCAAGAAAACAATAAATACTAATAACAAAACGCGAAGAATTAACAAAGCAAGGTTTCTGTAAAATACTCTGAAGAAAACTCCGTCCTGGGGGAAGTCTCTTATTAGAATTTATTCACTCAAGTGAGTGGGGTGGGGGTGAGTACTTATTCGAGTTTGATTGGGAGGAGGAGGGGGTGGGCGCTTATTCGAGGCTGGGCGTTATTAACTTTTTTTGCCTTTCGGTTGGGCGCTTATTCGAGGTGGGCGCTAATTCAAGGTTGAGCGCTTATTCAAATAAATATGGTATGGCAAAACTAAACTGCACAACTGGTAACATTAGTGGTCTGGAATTTAGGAATGACACATCACTTAACAACCGAAGAAACTGACCTACGGAAAAGCATTTAAAAGACAGGGCTAATACTTTATAAACGACGCTGAGATGTCAAAACGAGACTCAAGAAGAAGAATGCAAAAGTAATGCTAATGCCTAACTTCCCTTTTATATATAACTTCTTGGAAGTAGAACTGAGAGGATGTGATTATGACCTGCGGACAATGATCAAACATTTCCCGCTGACCGTGCGTTATTTTATATACTCGATACCTAAAGCCTGGTCACTTAAATGTCAATTTATTAAACATAGCAATCAGTCATAGTCTTCATTTTCAAAGCCTTCATCATTATCCCATTATCATTAACATCAGCATCAGAGAGATTTAACACTCTGATGAAGCCTCAACTTCTTCTGTGATGTCAACAGAGATCTGCTCAGGTCTTTCATCGTGAACAAAGAGTGCAGTTCCTTTGCCTTTGTTCAACATGTTGAACACAAAGCCGGCACAAGGGTTGAAACTAAGGACTTTTAGCATCGACAAAGGTGACGGCATTGAAAAAGTCACTTTGAAAATGAATTGGTGCTTTTTCCAACTTTGTCGCGTTTATTTCAATAATTTCGCTGAAAATAGCTAAAAATGTAGGCCAATTTCCCTGGAGTTGATTTCTTTGGGAACACACTCAAGTTTAGAAAGAGAATGAAAAGTTTGTTGTCGCTTGTTTACGTCCTCCATAAAACGTGAAACTAGGCACTTTCACGTCGTAGTCGTGCAGTGATGGCAAAGAAATGTACAAAAAAGCGTGATGAACGTCCAAACTAGTTGTTTTACTCAATAAACCTATTGCGTTCTCGTTGCCGTCACGCGTGTGTACCAGTACCAAATCTAAGTCAGATGTCTTTTTCTGACATTTCTTAGTTTTTGCACGCAAGTATTTCAAAATTACTTAAACCTGCTGCAGAAGAAACTTGCACTTAGTTTGATGGATAGTCTTTGTGTGTTTCAAAGGTCTGCTCTTTTGGTTTAATTTAACGAAGAAAGTAGCCGGGGGCCATGCTCTGAGTAGCCGGAGGAAATCCCCGGCCCCCAGCCCTTAGTGACAACCCTGCACTGAGTGTGACAAACTATTAATTTCCCATTTTTATTTACTTACGCCTCTGAGTACATGTACCTTAATTTTAGTGGAAAAACCTTTTTGTTGTTCAAAGTGTGTTTTGTTTGGGACAGGAAAAACTTGAGAAAGCAGCTGAGGCATTTGAAGCAGCTGATGATCTTCATGCTGCGTTTGTAGCTCGCATGGACAAATGGATGCTTGATAACTATGCCAGGGCTATTGATCTTTTCCGGCGATTTGATGTAGATGGGGATGGCAGCTTATCATATGAGGAGTTTTATGCAGGAATGCGAGACTTAAATGCACCAGCTAACAATCTTGAGCTTTATGTGCTTGCCAAGAAACTTGACAGAGATAGTAATGGATTGCTAGATTACCTGGAATTCTCTAAGGGATTGAAGTATTATAAGAAAGAAGAATGTGTGGAAGATGATGGCCTACCTGTTTTGAAATTTGAAAGAGAAGAATTGGAGCAGTGTCCTTGTTGTAAACTGGGATTATGGAAACCTCCCAAAGAAAAGTATCCGAGGTGAGCTGTTAAATAATTATACTGCACATCAAAATGGAGATCAGCTTTCTCCATGCAAGATGTTCAGTACTGGTGCAGTAAATACCTGGGACATAGAATATATTAACTTTAAGAAAGACTATTGATTTCTGTTTTCCTTCCTCAGATACACTGTATGCTATTTTTTGTACTGTGTAAATATTAGTTAATTGTTAAGTTAATTCCAGTAGAGTGAACCCTCTCAATATGGATGCCTGTAGTACTGCATTACCTCCTTCAAACAGACAACTAAAGTTTCCATAAAGTTGGTCCCTGCCTTTCATTACTCCTTTTATTCTGTTCTTTTTAAAACAGGTGCACCCCATGCTGGTTTGAAAGGTGTCCAAATTAGAGAGAGTTTACTGTATCACCTTGCAATTATTTATATTTACAAGTCTGTATTTCTAAGCTTTTTAAGCGCACCAGTAACTTTCATATGCAGCATTTTTGTAGGCATCAGTTGCCTTATTAGGGACTTTAAGATCCAACGATGCGGACAACAACGAGAACATCAAAAAAACAATAGGTTTAATTAGCAAAACTACAACTTTGCATGTGCATCACACTTTTTTGTACATTTTTTTCCCTTTTTTGCACGACCACAATTGAAAATGCCTAATTTCGCGTTTTATGGAGGACATAAACAAGCAACGACGAAATTTTATTTCTCTTTCTGAGCTTGAATATGGTTCCTTGAAATTCAGCTTTGGGATGGTTTGCCTACATTGACAAAGTAAGTGGGTAGGAATAATCGCTATAAAGACTGAAAAAACTCAAATTCACTTTTTATGCAACGTTCTTGTCACCGTCACATCGTTAATTTAATTAATTATTAATTTCAAAAACTTATAAGGCCCAAATATCTATATATTATAAATATATTCAAATGCGCCATAGGGAAAAAAAAACAAAAAAACGAAAACAAAACAATAATACTACTAATAATAAAAATTATGAATAATTATGATAGTAAAAATGATAAAATAAGATGATAATATAGATATAGAATAGAAAAACCAATGGCTAAAAGTTAAATAGATAAAATCTGTTGGCAAAATCTTAAAAATTATAAGCTGAAAATTATTTAGTCTAGTAAGCTAAAAATACAATCTTATAATCTAAGTGGTGCAAAATGCGTTTTTAAAAAGGTGAGTCTTCAACTTTCTCTTAAAAGTGTCAACTGAAATGGATTCCGTAATAAATCTTGGCACAGCATTCCATAGCTTAGGTGCAGCAAACAGGAAGGCCCGTTCACCGAGAGTTTCCTTGGGCTTAACATTCGGATAACTAAGTAGGGTACTGTCGCTAGAACTTCTTAAATTATATTTAGATACAGGCTTAGGAGTAATTAAAAAACTTAAGTACGAAGGTGCTAAGCCCTTAAAAATCTTAAAAGCAATCAACAGGATTTTAAATTCAATTCTGAACTTTACAGGCAGCCAATGTAAATCTACTAATAAAGGAGTAATGTGGCAATATTTACTTTCATTGCATATTAATCTAGCACACATGTTCTGCACACGCTGTAGCTTATTGAGTTGATTCTCCGGCAGGCCATATAAAAGACTGTTACAGTAATCGACTCTGCTTGAAATAAAGGCATGAATCAGAGTCTTGGTGTTGTCTTTAGATAGATATTTTCTTATGCGTCTCAGATTATACAAATAATAGAAGGCAGAGTTACATGTTTTTGAAATATGGATTGCCATCGTCAGCTTGGAATCAAACCATGAGCCCAAGTTCCTTGCAGACAACACAGGAGTGATAGTTGCAGTCCCAATACGAAGGCTGTTAAGAGATACTTTAGCTAGTTGCTGTGATGTGCCAATGATCATGAATTGGATCTTAAAGTCCCTAATGTTGCTACATAATTGTATTTTTAAACAACTATATATTTTTGTCATCTTTTTTATGTGTTGCAAGTTGCTTTGAAGTCTGATAATTATTGCTGATGTTTCAATCCAGAAATATACTGACTTACATTTTAATTTGTATGTTCAGATTTATAAGCATGGAGCTCAAGTTGGTGACATTTGCAAATCTTCCACAGTTAAAGTCATACCCAGGACATTTTCAGATATTTGTTCATGCCCATATACCAGTTTATTCCATTGAGTCTATTATCAATGAGAGATTTGGTGGTACTGCCAGGAAAGTTGTTATATACTGCACTACTAAAGAAGGAAAAAGAGTAGAGATGGATCGTCACAAGACTCTGGAAGAGTGTGGCTTTTCTGGAGGGCCAAGACCAGAACCTCAACTTGTGGAGTTATTATATGACTTTGATGTAGAATATAACGACTGTCCTATTCTTATGAGTGACCATTACTTCACTTAACAATAAAGGGCTATATTTTCAGTTTTACCCAGATTTTTTGGGGAAAGATATAAGCACTTTTTTTATGGTCATTGTTTTCTAGAATACTTTAAAAGACAGTGTTTATAGCCTTATACAGTGTAGCTTAAGTTTGTAAATAGGACAGTGATTTTGCAATTTTGTTATAACTTAGTTTACAGTACTCTAAGCATTTTAATAACCTAGATGTATTTGAATAGACTAAAAGAATTATAATGAAAAAAAAGATGGTCATTTACCTGATTTTTTTAAGAAAGAGAGTGAAATTTGGCATATTCAGTGTTAAGCAAAATCTTGTAGTTTGTATTTGCCTCAAAATATTTTATACTTAAGTTTGAACTGTGTTGTGATAATTTCTGAATGTACATTTTGTGTTTGTTAAGGATTGTTTTCACTAGTGATGGTGTAAGTCAGAGTTGTAGTCAAACAGAAGCATAGATTGTTATGGTCTTGTGAAATCAGCATTTTGATTCTGCTTTCAATTCCATGGCTTATGGTTTAGGGAAAACTATATTGTTGGAGTGGAATGCTCAATCAATCTTTGAGAAGATTCACTCATGTGACTGATTTATTCTTCCGCCTCTACTTCCAACTCCATTAATCCAGTCTAAGTTTGTAATAATTTATTGTGATGGAGTGAGTAAGGTCACCAGAAAACGGAAAAGTCTTGACTCCTACAACTCAAAGAAGCTTATATCCTGGATCCAGTCGTCGCTTCAGAAGTGACGACTGGACATACATCTGTATTTGCAGGCTAACAAGCTTATGACTTTACTTACAACTTGGATTTGTGATTTTTACTAGGACATAAGGGCTGTTACAACTCTCATTAGGACTTCCTAACTAGTTTCTCTTGCATAATGACTGTTAGACACGGCCTTTTGTGCTCTATGCTTTTGATTGTTTTTCTTGTTTCAAGCTTTACGTTAGGCAGACAGACTGAGCCTAACATCTATGGGAACATTGTAGGACGCCGTGGACTGGAGTTTTCCATAGGCTTACCGCAGTATATCCAAGAAAGAAGAGCTATTTCGATTTACTTTTCGCTAACCAGACATGCTTATGGAGGTTTTTGCAATTTAGATGAGTTATGGATTAGCTTCGCCCGTGGAAATCTGGCTTGTGAGCGGCCATCCTTTGTTAGGGTCCAATATACCACCTCTGAGCCTTTTGTTTCTCTTCGGTGGTGTGGTCGTTCAATGTGCCGGTTCACTGATTCGCGACGAAAATATTTCAAACAAAGAATTTCATATTGTCCAAACTCTTGTGCTGGTTTTAACTTTATGGAACTGCGTACTTCATTGAGTGGCGACATCCATCCATTACCGGGTCCAGATACTAGCGGCAGTAGGATTGTTATTCATGGGAATCGACCGACTCGTCGCATCCCTGACTCGGGTGGACACGTGAGCGCAAATTGTAATAGAATACAATTGACAAAGAATGCACAATCAACGGTGCATAAAAACCAACACAAGCTCTTGGAAATAGCCCATCTTAACGCAGAGCTTCTCAAATGTAGACAACACTTTATTGAAACGAAGGAGTTGGCCTTGGAACTTGATTTTGATATTTTAACCATCTCGGAGACTTATTTTGGCTGGTGACTTTAACAGGTCGCTCCTTCCTATGGTCCAATCTGCTGTTAAGGCCTTTCACCTCAAGCCTACTGTCCCATTTCCTACTAGAGGTAATAATACTCTGGATCAAATTTTCACCAACTTCCCTGAATTTTTCTCTGCTCCATGTAGCCTTCCTCCTTTTGGTTTATCTGACCACCTGTCTGTGTTTATGGGG